GGTTATTAGAAGTTGATAGGAAATCGAATAGACCGTTCAATTAGCAAAATTATTAGAAGTAAATTCAGGGATTTCTTTTGGTTACTCTTTATTGAATATATATACTTAATCTTCTTGTCACCTACATATCATATAAAGCTGTTAGGATGGCTCGTTGGCAAACTCAAGGAAGCCTCAAGAAACCCAGAAAGAGCCGAAGACATTCCATCCAATCACCACTAAGGGAATATTCTAGAATGTCGACGTGTAGCTTCACCATTGGATGGATAAGAATGACCCCCTATGTGCCTGTTTGCTGTCCGAAATGATTATTTACTTTCAGCCAAAAACTATAAATACATGAGATTTTTGTACCACATTTGACACCTCTTTGGAAAATAAAAATCTTACTTACTACTCTTCAGTCTTCTCTATTGCGACGTTGCGGATTCCATCGTTCAAGTAGTCTAGTAGTACGCGGCATAGCAAGAATCAAAGCTCTAGATATAACAAAAGCCGTTGTTTTGAAAAACCTCGCTTTTACGTCGGCATCAGATTCTCCTTGTTCATCGATGACGCTGATCACGTACGTAAAAGATCCCACATTTTCCAGAGAACTACAACAATCATCATCAAAAATGCACAGGTATTTATAAATAGTTGTCTACGCAAGATACTCAATATCCTTTGACCTGATATAATCAGCAACAACCTGTTGTGGGAGAAAACAAACCAGTTCCCACCTGATGAGCAAATTAGGGAAAGACGTTGGAAGTGGATAGTATATACAGTGCGAAAATCATCAAACTGCATCATGAGGCAGTTGCTAACTTGTAAACGTGAAGGGGAACGTAAAATAGGAATGCCGAAAAACACACTGAGTCAGGAATTGGTAGCAGACATGTAAAGGATGAATAGGAAGTGGAAATAACTGGAAAGGATTGTCTGTGACAGTGTTGGATGTAGAATGGTGGGGAGTGAACTATGCTCCTCAATGATGGGTAACACGCCTAATTAATTAAGTATGCATATAAAATTTTCACCAACAATCTCTTCTATACTCTTAGCACCAAGTTTTTGTCAAACTGGTTTATCCTAATATTCGTATACTAGTAAGGTGGTTTCAGCCTTTCAACATTTTTTTATTGTTAAAAAGAATGTATACATCATTCTCTCATTCAGAAGTGGAGTAAACTGATTTATATGGATGTAAGTCATAGAAAGCTGATCAATAGAAATAATAACAATTAATCAATGTTATTATTGTCAAAAGAGGGTTTTGTGGAGATTTTAGTAATTTTATATGGTTGAGATCATGAGTCAATTGAAGCTAGACCACCATGGAAAACCTAGAAGCACTGGATGGCCGTTTCATCCCATTTTGGGACTCCTCAGCAGTGCGCATCCAAAATCCCGCCTATCTAGATTCAGAACCAGGATCTATCAGTCTCGCGCGTGAGCGGGCTAAGTGGTCTAGTGGTAAATGTAAATAATCCTATGATAAACGTGAATGTAAATTAGTTTCCATAGTTTCTTTAATATGATAATCTTCTGTCATAACTTTTAGCCTTGTCAATTATCACGTGACCAAAATCATCAAACAGAATAACCTTGTTCTTGTGCTAAACTAATGACATATCAAAACAGTACAAGCAACATTGTGTCAACTCTCAGTCTTTATTAGTTCTTCATACCTAGTTTTACCTGTTGAGTTCAAAGGGTAATCTCAGACTCCACTGGTAGGAATCCTATATTTTAGATATAGTGTATGATATGGTATACTATTACGAGTTCATATTGCTCGGTAAACGGAACGAAAGTCAATGACAATGTGACACGATAGGCTAATTCTAATCCGTTGTCCCTGCCAACTGGATCAAGAAGTCTTGATGAGGCGTAGAGAAGGTATTCTACAAGCACCCACAAAACACGAGGTCATTAAGCAAACAAATCAAGCTTATTTATAAAATGATAGAAGTGTCCTTGGGAAAGCCACAAACTAGCGTACTAAACTGACCCGTCAACCAATGACAGTCAAGGAATTCCGAGTAGGAAATGTAAGCTGTAGGTCAACTAAGCATTTCTTGGCCCGAAAACATAAAATTCAAATTTCCAGAATAAAACTACAAAATTTGGACCTTTCCCAAGTGAGTTCTAGGAATCAAACGTCCCCAACACTATAAAACGAAAAATTACAATTATATAGAATCAAACCAAAAGTGACCGACCATAGGAAAATGTAGCTAATAAATCGGGAATAAATTAAGAATGGTAAATCGTATAATAGTAGCCAATAGGTCAAGTGAAAGGTTATGATAAAAGGAATACGAATATACATATATATATAATCTAGTTACTCAATAATTATCCAATTAACAGTTCACAAACAATTCCTAGAAGTTACCATTCATTTACTCTTCATCCAGATATAACACCTAGGTTTCGTGTTGTTTGACACTCGCTAGCTATCTGTACCTGTAATCTTGAAAGAAGTGATCCACTTTGGCAGATTCAATCTCATATCTGAGCCTCACAGGCAGAGATGTCACTGAGTAGTAGTTAACGTTATGTCTGTCAATGATTAATCAGTTGTAAATATATATCTCAATTCTACAGGAAGTCAATATAGGCCTGAATAGCTTAGCGGTACGATCTCTGACTGTGATGTTGAGTGACATAGGGGTAGCATTCACCAGAGATAAACAGTCTGCTCAAGATTACGGATATACCTTGGCGACCAGAGCCTAATAGCGAGAAAAGGGAGTCCCGGATTTCCTTTAGACTATCTCTAACTACTACCTCACAACAGAAACTTCATAAGTGGATAAACTTATGATGTTATGTAACAATATTTCTGTTATGATTAAACAATCTAAACGAAAAAATGTAAATGAATCATGAAAAAATATTTTTCAGATTACGGACAAATTTTTTTAATAGTTGGATTCAGAGGTCAATTGAAGCTAGACTGACCATAGAAAACCCGGAGGTATCGGCAGCCGTTTAGTTCTAGTATAAGACTTCTCAGCAGCACTAATCCATAATAAGGAACCCAGGATTTTCAGTCTCTCGTACAATTTCGTGGATTGGTTGAAATTATACCTTCGCAGATGACCTAGCCCTCCTATCTCATACACACAAACAAATACAGATCAAGACAACAAATGTAGAAGTAGCCTCTGCATCAACAGGCCTCAACATACACAAAAGGAAAAGCAAGATTCTCAAATACAACATGGAGAACACCAACCCAGTCACACTTGATGGAGAAACATTCACGTACCTAGGCAGCATCATTAATGAACGAGGAGGATCTGATGCAGATGTAAAGGTGGCAAATCAAGGATCGCATTTCTACAATTGAAGAACATATGGAACTCAAAACAACTCTCAACTAATTTCAAAGTGGGAATCTTCAATACGAACGTCAAGACAGTTAGTTCTGTTGTACGGAGCTGAAATGTGGAGAACTACAACAACCATCATCAAGAAGGCACTAGTATTTATATAGTGTTGTTTACGCAAAATAGTCAACATTCACTGACCCGATACTATCAACAACAGCGTTTTATGGGAGAGGACAAACCAACTTCCAGCTGAAGATGAAATTAGGTAAAGCAGTTGAAAGTGGATAAGACATAGATTAAGGAGACCACCAAACTGCATCACGAGGCAAGCCCTAACTTGGAATCCTGAAGGGAAGCGGAAATGAGGAAGGCCAAAGAACACATTACGCCGGGAAATAGAAGCAGATATGAAAAGGATGATTTGGAACTGGAAATAACTGGAAAGGATTGGTCAGAAAAGGGTTGGATGTAGAAAACTGGCGTGAGGCCTATACTCCTTCATGTGCGGTAACAGGTGTAAATAAGTCGTTAAAATTATACATTATCACCCATAGATGCCGTTTCTATGGTTTAGACGATAAACGTTGGTGCAAGAGATTGAAGATCCTGGGTTCAAGTTAAGTGTACATACTTCTAAAGAGTAGTCCTATACTAGAACCTAACAACTGTTCAATACTTTCCATGACAGTCCATCTTTTAGTCAACTCATGTGTTCAACTATTCCATCCCAATAATCTCCTTACAAACCCCCCCTCCTTTCTAATAAAAAAAACAAAAAAGATTTCTTTATATTGGCTTTGTTCTCTTGATTTTTTTATCATATTTCTGACAAATTAATCATTTGTCATTTATTATTAATTATTTCTAAGGAGTGTGGCTTCCTAAGAAAACCACCTGCTTCGATCTGAGCACCCGGACAGTATCACAGCCCTCACACAAATCGAATGAGATTTGTGTTCCACATATGCATTTAATGTCCCTTTGTACGAATATTTATGAGTTTAAATAATAAGATAATAAATAGATACCGGCTATATAGTTTAGACGATAAACATTGGCGCACAAGACTGAAGATCCTACGTTCAAGTTAAGTGTACGAGATCATGGATACATACTTCTAAAGAGTAGTCCTATACTACAACAGAACAACTATCCAATACTTTCAGGTTTTCCATAATGGTCAACTCATGTATTCAACTATTCCATCCCAATAATCTCCTTACAAACCCCCCTCCATTCTAAAAAAACAAAAAAAAAATTCTTTTTATTGGCTTTCTTCTCTTAAATTTTTTTTATTATATTTCTGACAAATCAATCATTTGTCATTTATTATTGATTATATCTAAGCTTATATAATAATAATAATAATAATAATAGTCTCAACACCCCCCTCCTTTCTAATCAAAAAAGAAAAAAAAATTTTATTGGCTTTCTTCCCTTGTTGCTAAGCGTATATCATATATTATGTAATAATAATAATAATGACAAAATGTCATAGATACTACTTAATTCAATCAATTATAACACCTCACTTTAAGTATAAATATTAAAGTGCATGGCAACTATTTTTTAGTATCCATAGCTCCTAATTATTATAATTATAATGAATAATAATTATTATACTAAATATAATTATATAATTATTATTATATTATTCTTTATTATGATAATAAGTCATTGTAAAAAATTAAAATTACCTAAAGAAGTACGTGAAGTATTTCAATTACATAAATATTATCGTAATTCAATACGGTTTTGTCAAATGCCAAATCAACCTCCTGCAAAATATATGTCAAAATTAGTAAGTTATTATGTATATTGCTTTTTTGTTTATATGATGTTAGATCTTGGTTTAATGGTTTCTAGGTTAAGCGTTGATGTACGAGGTCGAAGATTCTGAGTTCGAGTCTCTGATGTTTGGGATCGTGGATGTGCAAAGCTAAGGAAGAGTCCTATTGTACTTACTCCCAAAGGAGCATAGGCCGCCGATCAGCATTCTTCAACCCACTCTGTCCTGGGTCTTCCTTCCTAGTTCTATCCAATTATTGTTGTTCATTTTTCCGCCTGTAGCTCCTCCGGAGGCTACTGCCAGTCCTAAGCCCAGATAAAGGAGGGGGGTTGGGTATGGGATTAGCGACCCCATCTCGTAAAAAACCAACTCGCTAAAAAAACGCTAACCAGAAAGTGGAGTCCTATATTAGGACGAAATGGTCGTCCAGTACTTCTAGGTTTTCAATGGTGGTCTAGCTTTAATCAACTTATGGATTCAATTATTTAAAGAGATTCCATATTTATTATTCTTCTTTTTCCAAAATCATCCTCAATAGAACCTCTACAATCTTTGCACTTACTCTTATACCTCACTTCACTTTTTCAACTAGTATGTTGTCAGGTAGGTCGGTTGGCCGGTTGGTCGGTCAGTCGGTCCTGGTGTTGTTTTCCTACTCTTCATTTGTCTCATCACCATACTGGATTCATTTGAAATTTAAAGAAATTCAAATGTTAATTTCATTAAACGTTGACATGAATTGAAAAACGATTAGCACTTAGTAAGTATATAGTATCTGTTATCTTAATATAGTGACCACATCCATATGTCTTTATGACTCAACAGAGTGATAATGGCTGGAAAGTTTGTCTCTTTAGATTCTGTCATTCCAAGTCGAGCAGTTAGAGAAAGAGAGAGGCAAGATTCAGGGCAGTAAACTTGAGGGTGATGTCTTACTGGAGAATTTAAAAGGGTTTGACATCAGTAGGATGTTTTCCTGAGCCAACCAGGATATAAAGCGATATGACCTTTCTATAATGTAAGGAGTAGTTGGAAAAATGTCGACTATCAATATATCCAACCCGATCTTGTCCCACTTATTTCCGACCATTGAGAGTTAACATAAAGCCTCCAGGGTGTCAGGACCACACCCAGACGAGTTTGTATTTTAGATCCTCCAAAATGAAGCATTCCTCTATGTTTCGGCTAACCAGTAAATGACACTCACCCTCTTCACTCTAGTAACACATAAAATCACCTTGACTGACTCCTCAACAGTTCTAATCAATAACCCCACACGAGACTGAAGCCCAAGATTTTGGCTCATTATATTTCTACCAATGAATTTAAATCTAGTCGTACATCTAGTCGCCATCATTCAATGTAAACAATAGCTACTGTTCTAGTCTCAACATGTATAAATTGCACTACTTACAATTTCTCTTATTATAACTTCTCATAATCTATTTAAAAGTTAGCCATCAATGCTTACACGACAGATCATTGATTGAGTAGGCTAGTCTAATGTGATACAGAATAATGTCATCACCTATTAACATTAAATAGAGAAATATTAAAACTATTCAGTGGTTCAAATTTACCTGGTGTTGCTTTTTTTAATCTTGCCATTGATGTGTTAGGACTGCAATTGATCAGTCTCTCTTATTGGCATATGTCCATACAGTGTGTGTTGCGTCAATATACCTTTAATTCACAAGTATTATAAGTAAAGATGGATAATGGCCAGGAGCGGAATCCAGGACTTGCGTTTCGTCCTATTTGGGATTAGTCAGCCGAATGCACCTGCATCTCAAAGTTGCACAAGCAAGTGGCTATTACGACTCAGTAGTTGAGTGGGTAAAGCGATAACGTCTGAAGCAAATATTACTGGGTTTGAGTCACAGGGTGAACATAAACTTTGAGTTGCAGTTACATTCGGCTGACGAGTCCCAAATAGGACGAGACACGCGTCTTGGGTTCCGCTGCTGACCATTCAGTGAGATAATAAGGTTATGGAAGAAGCGAACATATCTTTTATCGATAATTATTGACTATCATTATAAATCCATTCAAATAGTCATAACAATCTTCCTAGCCATATCTGTCTGATTGGTACTTTATATTGATTGTCATTTTCAATATTCCCTTGTTTTACTTTACAGCAATGGAATAAACATTTAGCAGAAAAAGCTCAACTCACAGCTAGCCGATGTGATTACTCTTATGATAGTCCAAGTGATATGCGTTTTGAAGAGTTTTCTTCAGTGGCACAAAATATTGCTGATAGTCCAACAATCGAAAAGTAAGCTTCTTTTTTATCTATTTTACTGTTTTGCCATAACATTTTATTTGTTGATTGATTAAGGGTAGTCGGGAAGAAATGCTGAACATAAATTAGATGGTGGTTGGAGGTGGTCAATAGGAAACCCTGACCCCGTGTTTCGTGCTACTTGGTACTCGTCAGTGAGGTGTACCTGTAATCTTGAGGGAACTGGTGCTCCCTGACGAATTCGATCCCGTGTCTCTCAGCTTCACAGTCAGAGACGTTACCACCGGGCTACTCGGGCCGTGACTGACCTCCTGTAGGACTGAGATGTAATCACAATTGATTGATCACTGGGTGATGATCAATTTCATGCATGTCAAGTCCTGTTGACCACCTCCAACCACCATCTAATCTCAACATGGTGCACGCAGTGTTGAGTCATTTAGACTAGTGGCCACATTGCAACTTGATCGATAGCATTCGATCAGCACAAAGAAGGACTTAATACGCATGAAATTGATCAACACCCAGTGATCAATCAATTGCTGAACATAAATTTCACGCTAATTGACACTCAAAACCAAGACTTATCTAGAATCTTGGAATAAATGACTCTCTGATGAGTGTGAACCCTAGTTACACAGTTTCACGTTGTGACATAATTTTATTGATCTATTAATACCACGACTGGATTCCTGTTGAACTGAATTACCAATATTGATTGACCACTGAGTAGTATAATTAGTTAGTGATGATAGCGTTCTTTTGGCTAGCCAGCACGAAACCATTATGGAACAGGGTTTCTTACAAGCCACCTCAAATTAGTTAATAGTTATTACTACTAACTGACCTATCGCTAAGCAATTTCTCCCTTAGTAACCTTTGTGTTGTCTTTTATTTTGTTTTTAGAGCGGTGGCCAGTTGGTTTATTGAGTACAAGAACTATTCTTTTGATGATAACACATGCAAAGATACATGTATGCAGTATAAACAGGTAAGTGTTTATAATAAATATAATCAGAGAAGGGCTTTGTGCTTTCTAGTGATGGTCTCTAAGAGGTTTTTCTGGGGTTCTAGTGAAAAGCAGTGATCAGTGGAGTTCTACTGGGTCTGTTGTGAGATAGTAACTCACTGAAGACAATGGTGGATGTATCGCTCAATTTCGTGGATTGGTTGAAGTTAGATAGCATGGTTTGAAGTCTCTGATTAACACTAGATGGATGAGTCTTGAAAACCAGGTAGCTATTAGCATCTTATATTGGTCTAGATTGAAACTATATATTAGTATGTATCACCGAACTCATAAGAGACTGAATTCAAGGCTTTCAACATTGTGGTAAGTTAAAGAATCCTTAGACTAGTGAGACTATGTTCAAAGGTCTGAATTCACACACATGGAAGGGTCTAGGTTTTATCGCCAAATTTCATGCATGAATACCTAAATCCTGTATTATGGAAAAGAAGTTGATTATCATTGGCTATCAGATAATCAGGAAGCGTTATGATCTAGAATGTACTCTTGAGCGAATATGAATATGTATGAGAAGCACTTAACTCGATTGAACGGAGAGACTATAATTTATGGGTAAACCAATGAGATATAAGATAACGAGTGTTGGATTTTGGCGCGAAATTCATCCACCAATTTGGTGGTCATTAGTCAATTTATGGTAGACCACCATGTGAAACCTGGAAGCACTAAACGACCGTTTCGTTTCATCGTGGGACTCTTCAACAGTGCGCATCCACGATCCCGTCCCACGAGATTCAAAGCCAGGACCTATCCGTCTCGCGCGCGAGCGCTTAACCTCCAAACCACTGAGCTGGCCGGCATCCATTGGTGTTAATTTCTAACTTCAACTGATCTACCAAATTGAACTACACATACACGATTGTCTTCAGTGAGTTACTATCTCACATCAGACCTGGTTGAACTCCACTGATCATTGCTTCTCACTAGAACTCCATGAAATACCTCTTGAAGCCAATCATCAGTGAGAATATGTTGATTAATATCAGAATGTTAAATGTATAATTCAACTTAATTATTGTTATTTATGATTCTATTTCATTTAACATTATAGATGGTAAAAGGTGAAGAAACTGAAATTGGTTGTGGTGTACAAAAATGTTCAAACAGATTTTTAGTAGTATGTAATTATTCACCAGCGTAAGTTATCAGTAGTAAAATAAGTAGTATCTTTCGTTTTTTTGTTTTTTTTATAAATGTTCAATAGAAATAAACCTTGATTAGCTAGAGGTCATAGATACAATGTATAAGGTATATATGTCATCTAATGTTACTCGTTAGTTAATCAAGGTTTACTTCTACAACATAGAACATAAGCATCTGTTGAATACTATCACTGATGAAGTTCTGTAGAGATTTATTAATGTTTATTTAAACACATCAACATTGGTACAGGGAAGTAACAAATACATGTGCGCCACATGAATTATTCGACTTGTGTGAGGGCTGGGATACCGCTCGGGTGCCGGTGACCAATAATTGGTTCATACACCATTTTCTTCTTCCGGATGCTGGAGCACATGTGCACCATTGTTTTGGAATTGTGGTTTTCCAACTCCCTTTGGTGGACTATCCGTGTCCACCAACCTGTTTAAAGCACCGGATATTGACTTTCCCTCTCGATTTCGTAAACAACAGTGATGCCGCGAGAAGGCATTGACTAAGACTTCCCTGATAGTGCTTGTATGCACGTGGCCGTGTGAGAGCATTTCGAGGGGGAGGGTTGCCCCTCCCCACTTTCGGCCGTACCAGGGTATTTGGAGGCTCTTTAAAGATTTAATTCAATCTCAAGATGATAAAACACATTAGTCATTGCACAGGTTCCTGATACGGTGTAAATATTTTAAATTCGCCTAACAAAAAAACAACAACATAAGACCATTGAGTAACAAAAACTTCAATGCTTGTATACTTTCATCTTCAATCAATAATTCTCCTCAACTAAATTCATCAAATAAGTAAGTATACTGACTTACTCTGAACTTGATTAACCCTTCAAGTTATAATTTCTTAGTAGGGTTTAAAGAAATGTATTTATCAATGGCACACTGAAGAATTTATAATCGTAACTTTTATCTAGTTGATGTTATCACCTAAAATAAATAGTACTATGATGTATTCTACTGATATCGACAGATATAAGTAGTATGTATCATCAATCGAAAGTGAAATGCATGGTGGTAGAAGGTTAAGAAAATAATAAAAAAAGAGAATCAGAACATAGAATGATCTGTGTGGAAACGAAGGAACAATCAAGCCTGAGATGATAGATTGATATTTTGTCAATAAAGTATTTACTATATGGTTCTCCGATTTCAATAAAAGATTCTGTGATCTCATGTTCAAATACATTCGGTTGTACTCACTGGTATTCTCATTCATCACAGTACCTCAAGATGTTTTAGTTCTTTGTACTTCATTTATGTAAACAGGGATGATTAGGAATGAACAAGTCATCATCTTTTTGTCTGATCTGATAGGGTAGATTAATATGAAAATTGAAATGGTTTTCTTCATTAATATTGTAGTAAACGAGAACACAAGTATGGACAACCAATTGTATTTGTTTATAAAACTGCAGAACATCTTCGTAAAATCTGAGAATCATACAGTAAATAAACTCACTTAGTATTGTTTGTTTGAATCTTCCTAATAAGACTGATCAGTTGGAGTCCTAAACATCAATGGGAACATTTAAACAAACATTATCAAGTAAATTTAAACTTCACCCCATTGCACAAGCAAATGACTATCAGGACTCAGTGGCCGAGTGGATAATGCGACGGCGTTTGAAGCGAAAGGTACTGAGTTCGAGTCCCAGAGTGAACATCAACTCTGGGATGCAGGTACATCTAGCTGACGAGTCACAAATAGGACGAAACGCGCGTCAAACTGGATTACACTGCTTGCCACTATCCATCTTTACAGTAAATACTTTATTTGTAAAATGTCAATTAGTTGTCTTTTAGACTTGATTTTTCCTTCGTTTCCATACAGATCATCCTTTGTTCTGATTCTCTTTTCTTTAATCTTCTTAACCTTTTGCCTCCATGCATTTCACTTTCGACTGATGATACGTATTACTTATATCTGTCGACAATAATAACACACACCACAATATTATATGAATCGATGGTAAATATGTTTACTGTCTACCAGAACTTTATTGGCTCAATGAGCTAGGAGGGAGTTTAGATTAAAAAAAAGCCTAACTGACTTTTGACTAATCAAATCCATTGTTCGAAGTATGCTTGAAAGTTCTCAGAAGTCAGGTTTATTTTAACTGTCTTATTTGTCCACATTTTGACAGAATCACGTGTTTAGGCAATCTCTCATTTTCACTTCATGAACGATCATTCGAACAATTGATCGATGACCAGAAAGTAAAATATACTGTAAATCTTCTATATTTACCATTGTCTTTGATGCTTCATCAATCTTGTAGAAATAAAAGCATTCGTTGAATAACTTGATCCCCTTGAAAAGTGTCATTTTCTTCAAGTCGATCTTTCCCTAAATACCCCATACGTTTTACAAGAGCATTTCTGGATTTTCAAACAAATAACACCTTAACAGTATATCAGTATGAAAGTTGTGCAGATTATTAAATGTTATTGAGGTGACGAAGCAACTAAACCTAGACAACTATTGAAGACATAAAAGTAATAGAGAGCTTTTTTCTCTAAAGTCAGGGTTGCAAGTCACTGATTCTTGTATCAGTGATCTAGGGTCTAAGGCATTGACGACTAATTTCGGGGGTGTTGCCATTAGTACGTCTCCCCCTGTGGAGTCCTGTACTCCCCCACTTTCAGTGGTTGCTCAATATACATACTTATACATACGCATATTAAAATCACTGACATGTTATTTCTCTATTTATTATTTGTAGAGCTGAAGAAGATAAACCACCGTATGAAAAAGGTACTCAAGAAAATTGCGATGATGTTGATGATGCAGAATATTAAGTTTGATTTGACCTAGCAACCTATATGTGAAGTACTTTTATGAATATGCAGAAATATAAATTTCAAAAAGAAAAAAAATAACTTGATAACTCATTGTGTAACTTTTTATTTCGAATCATCCTTACAGTACCAAGTGACCCCCCCAACAACAACAAAAAATTCATAACGGACAATGTTAATAGAAAATTCTGTGGAATCAATCGATCATTTTGTGACTACACATTACTCTAGATCTTAAACAAAGTGATCCATCAATAAGAATTATAGTTGAAATCATGAGTCGATTGAAGTTAAACCATTATGGAAAACCTGGAAGAACTGGATGACCGTTTCGTTCTATTATAGGAATCCTCAGCAGTGCACATCCACGATCCTTCATCTCGAGATTCAAACACAGTACCTATTGGTCTCGCGCGCGAACACTTAACCTGTAGACCACTGAGCCGGCCATTATTCAACGATGTTAATGTCTAACTTCAACCGACCCACGAAATTGAGCGACACCTCCACGATTGTCTTCAGTGAGCTCCTATCTCACATCAAACCTGGTTGAACTCCACTTGTGACCGCTTCTCACTAGAACTCCAAGAGTTATTTCTTGAAGCCAGTTACTAATGAGTATATGATCGTGGGTGTGCACTACTGAGGAGTCCCACAATTAGATGAAACGGCCGTCCAGTTGTTCCAGGTTTTCCATGAAGGTCTAGCTTTAATTGACTCATGAATTCAACTAAAAAATTACTAAAATCTTCACAAAACTCCCTTCTGATAATAAGAATTATGTCTATGATTCTCTAACCCATCGTTTATTATTGGCGGTTTCCACGTTAACGTCCCAAGATTCTATCAATAAGGTTGACATTGCATTTAAGGCTGAGAATATCTTCGACTCTATTGATCTAGAACGCATACCCCTTTTTCTAGTTCATTCTTTAGTTCGATAATAGTACACAGCAAGCACTAGTTCATTCGCATCACTTAAATCAATCAACTGATACAATAATATAAAATAAATTACTTGATCCTTAGAAGCATACTTGGAAATTGATACTAATTCAATTTAAAAGGGTTCAGATTATCCTGTTGTTGGTATACTTGGCTGAGATTAGATCAGTCTTGGTTGTCGTATTTGCATCCTGTACGTATTGTTTCAATATAAATACTATGAAACAAGTAAATATAGAATGGAATGCGGCTAGCAATGTAAACAAGGAAATGAGTTTAAATCCATTGCACAAGTAAGTGGGGATCTCGACTCAGTGCCTAAGTGAATAACGCTCTGGAGTCTGAAGCGAATAGTACCTGGTTCGAGTTCCTGAGTGAACGTAAACTCGCGGATATAGGTTTATCGTAGTTCGAAGTAGGGTGAGCGTCCTTACTTCTACTGTTAACGACATCTTGTCTATCCTAGATCAAAATAGTACTGTTAACGTTGATTAATCACTGAGAGATACTCAACGTCATGGTTGTTCAAACCTTTGATACTGTTCAAATTCTTTCTGTCAAGTTGAAATATGGGTATTGGCTTAAGTTACTTAACATGACATTCAATAGATTGTAATGTTAGGTTTCTGGATAAAGTTGATAAGAATCCCTCTTCTGTTAGTAAGTACTTGTTAGCAACGCATACCCTCATTGTTGAAGAAATTGACAGGATTTGAATTCGCATCATCAAATTTCACAACCTGGGTTGTCACCACATAGTGTAAAATGGCAATTGTTTTTAAAGAATATGAGAATCTCATTGGGATCACTAATCAGTCCAAATTATGCAACCACTAAATTCCTGAGAGAGTTGGATGTCCGCTTCGTCCTAGTAGGGGACTTTTCAGCAGTGCAAACTACACAACTGGGAATCGAGCTCGGGATCTAATTTTAGATTAAGAATCTATTCAAGATGAAATGGCCATCTAGTGCTTTCGAGTTTTTGATAATTGCAAATAGGGTCAGTTCGCGATCCTAATTAAGAGTCAACAGTCTCTACAGCACTATAATGAATTTGATTTAAACTCTTTTAACTTATATTAAATAAAGTGAGATTCATGTCAGAATACAAAGTTCGGGTTTGATCTTCATAATTAGCATTGCTTCTGTAGATATAAGCAGGTCATAACTATACGTATCTTTTAATCTCTACGCTTTTGAAACGAAAACTGCTTACTAAGATTTATACTTTGTCACCTACTAAACACCAGTATTAACATGTATTCAGTGAATTCTAGAGAGTTGTAGATAAGCGGTCCACTTCCATTTTGTTAAAATTCTCGGAAGTCATAGCAAGTAAAAATCATAAACCTGACTTTTGTATTTGTTATAACTCTCGGTTTCCTGCGTCTACGTGAATGGGACGTTAATTTGCCGTAGACGAATATCTACACTAGATTCCTTCCCAGTGTCTGTTCTACAGGACGTCAACGCAACTCAGATCGACAACAAGCCGACACAGTTCAACACAACCGCAAAAACTATAAAAGTGAGAGATTATATAACTCATATAAAGCCTGTCAGATTATCTACAAGTCTGACTAAACAAACAACCAATCATTATCATTCTCGCCCACATATCAGTACTTAAAAGAAGTTCAATAGTTAATCTTTAACTACCATAATAACATTTTGACCTATGTTTTCTGCTGCTAATCTTAACCATAACTGTTATGATATACAGTGTTCGAGACTAATACTATTACACAAACTTTTTATACACAACCCGCCCCCACTTCAATTGACTACTAAGTAAGTAGACGAAGAGTTTAGAATGAAGTTTGTCGAGCACAGCTTAGACTTCTCATATGAGATCTTTCGACTGACCGACCTTACAAAACTTTAAAAATCTTTCATTGTATTTAGTAATAAATTTATCTAAGTAACTAAGGCCAGTCATTGTAAGCAATTATAAGAAGCATCCTTTCTGTTGAAACTGAGATTCTAAACGCCTTTCACATTATGCACATTTCATTTATTATTGATTGACAATCCTTTTTCCAACATTGTGTTAATCTGGGACTCCTCAGCAGTGCGCATCCACGATCCCGCCTCGCGAGATTGGTAGGTCCTGGGTTCAAATCTCGTGAGGCGGAATCATGGATGCGCACTGCTCAGGAGTCCCACAATGGGACGAAACGGCCATCCAGTGCTTCCAAATTTTCAACGGTGGTCTAGCTTCAAATGACTAATGATCTCAACTCTATAAAATTACTAAAATCACCACAAAACCCCTTCTGATTTTGTTAATGATTAGAAATAATGAAAGATATCAGTTGGTGTGTAGCTAATGAGGAAGCAACGAAATACCACTAATTCATCACATTCTACAAACATTATCATTCTGGTTTTGTTTAAATGTTTGAAGGTAATCGATTCCGTAAAAAGAAATAAGTATATTACTTGTTATATACTGTACCGGCAAATTGTTAGACCTTGTACCCACTTATTAGAGAATAGTGAATTATCGATCGAACCAATGATACACGGAAACCGTACGAGCCTAACCCAGTCAGTTAAGTCCAAAACATCAATAACAGCCTCCGCTATATGAATCCTTATATTTCAGAAATACTAGGTTTATATACCGAACAAATTGACCACATCGTACCATACAATAGAAAGTAACATCTGTACAAGATTCAGCTAAATGTGGCTGTGAACAGGGGGAACAGTAATTAATAGATTGGGTATAACTCAAGAATGGTAAATCGTACAGTAGTAGTCTATGCGTCAAAATAAAGCTTAAAATAAGGGGGACACGAATCTGAATACTTTAGTTAATTAATAATTATACAAAAGGAAATATACACATAGTATTAGTTCGAACAAAGAATAGGTGAATAGTAACCGCTAAGATCTATTTGTGGATTATTATTATTATATTATATTCTCATTGTATAGTTACAGTCTCTTACACTCACAGTCACTTTTGGCTTGATCTTGTATCATTGTTATTTTCTATTTTATGGCATGATGTTGTCTTATTTTGCTTGTATATAAACTGTTTGTCTGAAATGCACGATTCGAACAGTGGAAGTTGAGTTTGTGTTCTGGACTCAAACGGGAAGGGTTAGGCGTGAAAAACTAATAATGACTCAGAGTTAGATTTAGGCTGCTCATATTGGTTAACAATGTCATTGATTTGGCACAGTGTCAAGGTCGTGTAAGTTAGTGTCCTGATTGACGATCTTATCACGTGATATATTAACGGGACTAAAGTCAACACATCGTTTTGTTCTTTACGTTTACATCATTTGTGAATGTGCATATAAATTACAATTGTAAGGTTAGGAGTAACAAGCAGTCAGTATATGACAACCTAACAAAATGTTATAACATAATCTAAATTATGTGAAAATTTAAGTACATTTTATTGATGGTATACATCAAATCTGAGATGCTGGTACATCCAACAAGTGATGAGTCCCAAATAGGACTAAACGCATGTCCTGGATTTCACTGCTAGCCACTATCCATCTTTGCTTATGATGGTATAATGGTTTTGTTCTTGATTTGTACAATGTTCAATGATTAATGTGGAAATGAATATGAATATATACTATGTTCTTTGTATATTTTAATCTTCAGCACATCCACGAAGACGAATTACAGACGTGTCAATCTTTGAAAGAAATAGTAATTCAATGTCCTCTAGTTCTCATGACAGTTTGTTTTCAAGATCTCTCTCTCACACAGTAATTTATACTAATATAACTTGATTTTGTGAATGGAAAAAACATAATTTTATTAGAAGCCTTCCATTATCATGATTAAGGAATACACAATGAAAACCTATTAAAGAGATGTTAGTGACCTCAAATCTCCAGAACATTACTTACTTACTGATATAGGTTAAGCGCTCTTGCGTGAGACTGATAGATCCTGGGTTCGAATCTATCGAGGCGGAATCGTGGGTGTTCACTGTTGAGGAGTCTCACAATAAGACGAAACGGTCGTCCAGTTCTTCTAGGTTTTCCATAGTGGTCTAGTTTCAATTGACTAATGAATTCAACTATAAAATTGCTAAAACCTCCACAAAACCCCTTCTGATAATACCAGGTCAAAAAAAACTTTCACTTTTCTAGATGTTTTTTAGAAGTTTCTATATAATGTTAAGGGAATCAAACCTTCCCTAAGGTTTTCTTGACTTCTGTTAAAATTGGCAAAGGTTATTTTGGGATTCCGTAACACTTAAAAGTTATTTACGTATTTTTAGCTCCTAAACTGGTCAATAAATTTATCTTGTGAGGATGAGCCAATCGAAATAGAGAAAACTATAACTAGACTATAATTTATGGATAGACCAATCAGATTTAAGATATCAAGTCTTAGGTTTTGGCGCGAGATTCATCCACTCATTTGGCTAAATACTATTTCGGCATTATAGTTGATGTCAATCTATAATGAAAACATTAAATATAATTTCTAACCCCAACATTCAACTGTAAATCTTAATCCTGGTTCCTTGTACTAATTTATAACCTTAATGTAACCCTAGGAAGTAGATGAACATTTTCAAGGTCATTCCAGCGTTGCTAAAAGGTCGGCCATAAATTATCGTTTCACTGAAAAATCGATAGCATTCAGTTAGAACTAAGACGGACTTGACAAGCATGACATTGATCCCCACTCACTGATCAATCAATTGTGATTACATCTCAGTCCTACAGGAGGTCGGTCATAGCCCGAATAGCTCAGTGGTAACGTCTCTGACTGTGAAGCTAAGTGACACGGGATCGAATCCGTCAAGGAGCACCACTTCCCTCAAGATTACAGGTACACCTTCCTGACGAGTGCCAAGTAGCACGAAACACGGGTCCAGAGTTTACTATTGACCACCTCCAACCACCATCTTATCTCAACATAGTGCACGTAGTGTCGAGCCACCTAGACTAGTGGCCACATTGCAACTTCATCGATAGCATTCGGTCAGCATTAAGACGGACTTGACACGCATTATATTGATCGCCACCCAGTGCTCAATCAATTGTGACTGAAAAATCTCTTTTGTCATCATAGAGCTAAAATGATAATGTTGAACACTTACAAATAGAGGTTTAACATAACACATGAATCATTCAGTTGTTTTTATTAGTTAACATTGTTCATAGAAGTTATTTTGAGAAGATGATGGAGAAGATTTGTAGCTCAGATGGATGATTTGGATGAAGTTTTGTTCTCTTAGCTGGACGGTTTTTGATCATGGAGCTTTCGTCGTTATTTCTGAACTACATCATCAGCACAAACTTCTACCGCACTTTATACTATGTGAAATACTGATCATGATCTAGACAATGATTTTCTATGCACATGGTTTTTATAGATCTACGGTATGACAATGATTGTTCTTCTAATGTTTCATCTTCTTAACATTTCGAGAAATTTATCAATTAAGATTCTGAAGGTGGTAGCAGTTTTTGAAAAGAAATTTGGCAAGAAACTGATGTAACGTGTTATTTTGAATTATTTCCTCTCGTTCCGCAATGTACTACTAGGCTACGATAAGACTGGTGACTAAATGTATGCTATCGTTAGACTGGGTACTTGATTGATATGCTACACATAAATTAGATGACGTGCTTTCAGATACACAATTTACAACTAAAACAGAATATTTTATATGGTTAAGATCATGAGTCAATTGAAACTAGACCACTATGGAAAACCTGGAAGCACTGGACGGCCGTTTCGTTTCATTGTGAGACTCTTCAGAATATCATAGTTTAAGCTAAACAGCACTTTATTCTACATCATTAAAAACAGTAGCTTGTTTGCCTAGAGTATAAATCTATAACAGAAAAGGAAATCACATATTTGAAAGTCAATAAGTTGAATGCCTATATGTCTACGATCAATGGTCAAAAACGCACATTAAGCACTCCACTTGTAGTACGTATAAATCTACATACAGATTAATGAGATTATCTAGTGATGTTTCCATATTATTGTAGTCGCAAAACCAGTAATAAGCCTTACAAAGTAGGTTTGGTTTAGTGACTGGAAAACGGCCGATCGTACTTGTACCATACTTAAGATTGTCTGAAACATAAGTGGAGTTGTACAGATCAAATATTCAATTCTAACAATAAAGCCCGACAGTGAACAAAGAAACAGCTGGATTACTTTCATTAAATAGATAGTGAAAGAGACTAATCTGTCTTTCTTAAAAACGTCTCTCCAAGTAACTATTCAGTAAATCGACATACCAAAGCAAGATCAACCTTAAAGACTAGGAAATAGACTGTTATATACTATGTGATAAACATCTCACAACTAACAACATGGATTTCGAAATTTTTAAGAATTACCATCCGTCACAATCACTACACTCCATGTTATACAAACTGAAAAACAGGAATTCAACATTACTCATAAATTACACTGAGTCAACGAAGTACTGTATTAGACAAAGTGAACTCATCCTTTCACCTATGTATACACAGAAGTTGACAACTACAAACACGAATTCGATTAGGAGAAAATCGAAACAGTTCATGGAGAGAATGCAGAGAATGACCCAGAATTCTTGACAGTATGGCATTCAAGTCAATCTGTAATCCACAGACATATTAACACAAGTTTACTCTATACCGAAAATTTCAACCAACATAATGTACCAAGATAAGCAGTCCAGGAGAATGAACTGATATAAAGTTTGTAGAAAAATCATAAGAAATACTTTGACGTAAAGTTGAATCTCCTTTCATCGTTCAGAACGTGAAGGAAAGCTTCACAGTAAGTCCATGTAGCTCACTGTTAAGTCTTATAGTCATCCCATTTGAATGCTAATATTCACGCTTCCTAAATGCCTGTTCAAACTTCTGCATACGTGAGAAGACCGAGAATGACTCGAGTGCTTTAATCTGTAAACCGAATGAAACATGTTTATAATTCATTGATTTGTATTTATATATATATTCGCCCCCCCCCCAAGATCTTATCATACTGCTCGAACAGTTTCAACTAATCACATGTATCGTTTAGTGAGTTTCTTCAATAAGTTGAAGATGTTTCGTAGCAACAATGCTGCATTGTAAGAAAATTCTCGTTTCTTTTTTTTTCATTTTGGTTTTCACAGTTTAACATCAAGCATCATTTCCTTTACTGATGAGTATCAAATAGCATGAAAGTTTAGGATCTACTGTTGAATATGCATAATCACCATCTAATAACTCTTTTGTTTTATGAGATGAAAGTTGATCATGAAAGTAGGAAGTATTTAAAAGTTCAACTAACACTTTACATTTTGATACTGATACTTGTCACAAACAATGTTTACATCGCTGATTCTTACTCAACCTCCTCCTACTCCTACTCCCCCTACTCCTCCTCATCCTCCTCCTCCTCCTACTACTACTACTGCTACTATTATTATTACTACTACGAATATCAATAGTAATACTAATAATAATACTACAGGGCATAATTTACAACAGTAAACTTTTATACATAAGTGCACATCCACGACCTCGCCTAGCGAGATTCGAACCCAGAATCTACAAGTCACGCGATACTTGTAGGTCTTGGGTTCGAATCTCGAGAGGCGAAGTCGTCAATGCGCACTGCTGAGGAGTTCCACAATAGAACGAAACCACCGTCCAGTGCTTCCAGGTTTTCCTTGGTGGTCTAGCAACAATTGACTCAAGCTTTCAACTATGAAAATACTAAATCTCCACAAAACCCCTCCTGCTTTTATACATATATATATATATATATATATTGAACATATAAATAGAATTGATAGTATCATTAATCAACAATGATCATAGATAGTTTAAAAGGATAAATTTGTCAATTTTTCCAGTATTTCTATTCCTTTAATAAACACTGACTTTGATCCCCAATTACGTAAGGTTTACCTTTATCATCAGCTCTACATCAAAGAGAATTAAATTCTGAATAATTATCTATTTATAAAAAGGCAGAATATTTTAAAGGGGGAAAGGAATACCGAAAGACATTTTCAATCAAAGTTTTATCTAGTTTGCTACATTTTTTTGCTATCAGGTTTATGTAACTAAACTTTAGAGGAGGATCTGTTATTCTTCACTTCTGGATACTTACTTACTTACGTCTGCTACCCCCAGAGGAGTATAGGCCACTGACCAGCATTCTCCAACCCACTCTGTCCTCGGCCTTTCTTTCTAGTTCTATCCAGTTGTTGTTCATTCTTCTCATATATGTTTCCATTTCTCGGTGTAATGTGTTTTTTAGTCCTCCTCTTCTCATTTAGCCCTGTATAATTCATGTGGGGGCTTGCGTTGGCTGCTTTCCTCAATATATATCCTATGCCCTTTAAGTGCTTCTTCCCGATTTCTTGCTTCACTGAAATCTGGTTTGTTCTCTACCATAGTAGAATATTGCTGATAGTGTCTGGTTAAATGATCCGAAGTGTTTTGCATAGACAACTGTTAATGTACACCTGTATCTCTGCCTGTCACGTCGAAGGCCCAGGTTTGATTCCCGGTCGATGAGTTGGCTTAAAATCCGCCTGTAGCTCCTCCTGCAGCCACTACCAGTCCCAAGCCCGTATAAAGTAGGAGGGTTAGGCATGGGGTTAGCAATCTCATCCCGTAGAAAACTAACTCGCTACAAAAAATCTCTAACCAGAAATAACTATTTAAACCTCCTGGTTAACACATACTTAAATCTTGAACCGTATCAATTCATAGTAGGTAAGAAAGGTTCACCGTCCTAGATTACAATGAATTAGGTTTCTGTTACGTCTTCATATTCAATTACTGTCTTACCAAATTCAATATATAGTTCAAAACTATGGAATACAGTTTAACTACTTACAAAATATATCAGTAGTAAGGTGGAACAAATGTAATAATATAAAGTTAATCGATTATATTCATTTATGCAAAATAATTTTTTTTTCTAATTACTTACGATGGTGAATAATTGCAGACAATCATCAATTTTCTTTTTTTACATTTATTAAGACCACATCCAATATGTTTAGTTTTAGCCCAAACCATCTACATTAATAAGAATTAGAAAAAAGAATATATTGATCAGTTCCAAAAAGGGATAAGTCGTGATCGGAACATAGCTGATTGGGAACATCTCAGATTTTGCAACTAAACTTTGAAAGTTCGAATAATCAGGTGAAAATGAAGAATATCAGTATGTGATTGTAGTGGTTGTTAAGTTTTTGATTGCGATCTTGAATGGATCGATGTTAGACCACCATTGAAAATCTGGAAGCACTGGACGACTGTTATGTATTTGTATGGGACTCCTCAGCAGTGTGCATCCATGATCTCGCACGCAAGAACAATAATCTTAGCTATTTAGTTCTGGCACAAGATTGATGAATTTTTTGTGAGCACTACCTGAGTTTGAGTTTAAATATAGTTGATGAATTGATATAAACTGAAATCGATCAAGATAATCAGTATTCTTATGACAACTTTTGATATGATTTCACCGTTATAGATGTGTATGCCAGTCTTTATTTTCGAGTCTTCTTACAATTGTGTTAATCATGAACTGATAATGAATAGAAAGCTCTTCGAAATTTAACAAGCACTTTAAAATTTCAACCGCAAAATGCGAGACTATAATTTAAGGACGACCTTTGAACGAATCTTAAGTGACTTTGAGAAATGTTAGCCAATCAGTAAAGCATTCAGCATAGAGTAAAAATTCATTGTTCGAAACCAAATAATTAAAGTGGATACACCTTTTTGATATGGTCCAAAAGCTTATCAAGGTTAGAAAAAGGTTCAAAGGTTTCAAAATCGTAATGCATAAGGTGGAGGAACTCATCCATATGGCTCCATAATAGTTGGTCTCTGGAAACATGATAAGGTCACTAAAACCCTCTCAGCCTCGACCACATAGCTTCAATATTGTTTGTGTGTACTACGGTTGTGCAAATTTATCATTTTTTATTATGGATGTGTCCCTACAATACTCCTATCACTGAACAGCCGAAGCTTCGGTAACATCTGTGATCATTGAAGCCAACGTTACTGGTGCTTTTATTATACAGTTGGAGATAATTATTATAATATGCCTTAGTCTCAATCTGGATCGAGCGATAAGCGTTCTTATTCTAGGAAACGGCTTCCTTCAACATATATTACATCGAAGGACAACATCACGGTAGTCTGCACAAGGTCTACAAGTCATTTAATACCTGCAGTTACAAATAAAAGAACTTCTTAGTAGTCTCATTTGTTGTAGCCGCTTAATTGTCAAGTCTTCTCTAAAATTCTCTGTCAAGCAGTCGTACATAAGCATCAGGTATAGAAATCAGCGCCGTGACCTTGAAATGCCTCAAACGCTTCTGATTGGCTCGTCCATAAATTATAATCTCGCTCCTCAAAATCTGTCAATGTTAATATAAATATAGGTGAATTGTTCCCATGAAGCTCAACACTTGATTACATAATGAATTGGAGTATTGAAATGACAGATTATTTAATTTTCAGATTTCGAGACTGAGTATTATCGAGAGATACGAATTAAATTATATCGACACCGAGTTAGATCTCGTGTGTGCGTCTTGAGGTGTGTGTGTGTGTTTATCCTGTTGATATTCGGTATTTTCCCCCAACTTATGCTAAATGATATCCTTCTCATACTTAACATTATCGTAAGCATTTCTTTATAAGAAGGAATTCCTCCACAAACTTTAACATTCAATTTGATGGATAAACATCTATAGTTTCACTTATTTTTAATGATGTACACTTAACATGAAGGTAGAAAAAAAGACGTCTTTTAAATTCATACAGCAAGAATGTATGAAATTTTAAGACTGTTATAACTTGCGGTCTTTTACCCTATTAATATATAACGTAATGATATTGCAAATTATAGAACGGTGATCTATCGATCAGACCAATGACGCGTAAACCGGTGCAATCAGTCTAGGGTCCTTATCGATCCTTTTTCCTACCCAGCCCTGCCTGTTAAGTCCAGAACACCAATTTCACCAATTGTTCGTTCCTGGTTAGCGTTTTTTTTAGCGAGTAAGTTTTCTACAAGATGATGTCGCTAACCCTATGCCCAACCCTCCTCCTTTATCTTGGCTTGGGACTGGCAGTAACCTCTGGAGGGGTTACAGGCGAAGTTGCCTTTCAAATATACTGGGTTTATATACAAAGCAAACGGACCACATCACACCATTTAACAGAAAATAACATATGTACAAGATCTAGTCAAAAGTGTCTCTGATTGTGGGAGACTAACATTAATAGACTGAGTATAACTCAAGAATGGTAGATCGTCTAATAATAGCCTATAGCTCAAAATAAAACTTATAATAAGAGAAAATTGAATATACATAGTTTAGTTACATAACGATTATGCAATAAGGATATATGTATAATATATTAGTTCAGAAATAGAATCCAATGGTTTCTATTCATTATTTTCGTCGGGATATAATAAAGACTTATGTATATAACTCACAAACTAACCGCTGCACTACTGATGAATACCAACATTGAGACGAAACACTAATCGATGCTTATTTACTAATTGACATTCTACCTAGTTGATAATTATTAATGAGTAACCTTTGTAGTTACAGTAGAATAATAAGATCCATAAACTAAACATACACTAACTCCGAAATGTTACTGATGGAACGTTATTATTGTGGCTGAATGAATCGGTCATTGAGGTATCATCACTCTGATCTTCTTTGGTCTTTATACATATAGATATAAGAAATGGAATTTCAACCAATAACTTACTTGTCTATAGTTTGAACAACTTCCATTACATTTATCTGTTTCATAATTATAATTATGATATTCTCGGAACCAATTTTCCATTGCACTATAATTGATTAATAAATTAGTATTTATTAAAAACAAAAAAAAATATAAACGAAGATGGATAGTGGCTAGCAGTGGAATCTAGGATGCGCGTTTCGTCCTACTTGGATTTCGTCAGCTGAATGTACCTGCATTTCAGAGTTGATGTTCACTCTGGGACTCGAATTCGGTGACGTTCGCTTCAAACACCATCGCGTTATCCGTTTAGCTACTGAGTCCTGACAGACACCATCTTGTATAATGGGGTGAAGTTTAAATTCACTTAGTATTGTTTATTTGAATCTTCCCATTGATGTTTAGGACTGCAATTGATCAGTCTCTCTCTTATTGACATATGTTCATACTGTGTCCCAGAATGAACATGAACTCTGAGATGCAAGTACATTCAGCTGACGAGTCCCGAATAGGACGAAATGCGCGTCCTGGGTTCAACTGCTAACCACTATCCATCTCTGCTTATAATGCTTGTGAATTAAGGCCATATCGAGGCGATACGCACAGTATGCACATATAGCCAATAAGAGACTGAATAGTTGCAGTCCTAAATATCAATGGAAGGATTTGAACAAACAATACCAAGTGAATTTAAACTTCACCCCATTGCAAAAGCAAGTGGTTATCAGGACTCAGTAGCTGAGTGGATAACACGATGACGTTTGAAGCGAACAGTACTGGGTGCGAATCCCAGAGTAAACATGAGCTCTTAGATGCAAGTACATTCAGCTGACGAGTCCCGAATAGAACGAAACATACGTCCTGGATTCCACTGTCAGCCACTATCCATCTTTGCTTATAATGCTTGTGAATTAAGGCCATATCAAGGCATTACGCACAGTATGCACATATGGCCAATAAGAGAGAGACTGATCAATTGCAGTCCTAACGCATCAATGTGAAGATTCACCCAAATACTACCAAGTGAACTAAAACAAAATTATGTTCTTGCTCATTTTAAACAAACAAAAAACTAAACCCCATAATCAATTCACTAACTTTTCAATTGTATCCGATTCAGCTACATTTTGTCCAATCGATTCAAAATGTTCTAATAATCTATCATTGACTAAATCAAGATTTAAATCACATTTATTTGCTACTTGTTGAGCATTATTGGCTAAGATATCATTCCAACGCTTTAGGAAAAACAAAAGTGTAAAGGTATTAGTCTGTTAAATTAATAGAAATCAATATTTTTTCATAGTTGAAATCATGAGTCAATTGAAGCTAGACTATCATTGAAAACCTGGAAGCACTAGACGATCGTTTCGTCTTACTATGGGACTCCTCAGCGGTGTGCATCCATGATCCCGCACTCGCGATGTTCGAACCCAGGACCTATCAGTTTCACGCCAAAGCACTTAACCGATAGACCATTTAGCCGGTCGGCATTCAACGGTGTTAATGTTTGACTTCAACCAATCCACGAAGTTTGAGCAACCGTTCACCAATTGTCTTCGGTGAGTTGATATCTCACAACAGACGTGGTTGAACTCCACTGGTCATTGCTTCCCACTAGAACTCTAGGACATGTATGTTGAAGTCAGTCACTAGTGAGCATATGATTATAAGTAATATGTTATAATTTATAATTTATGGATGAACCAATCAGATTTAAGATAAAAGGTCATGGATTTTGGCGCGAAATTTATTCATCTATTTAGCTAAATAGAGTTTTGATATTATAGCTGATGTCACTTTGTGATGAAAACTCTGAATCTAATTCCTTACCTAAACTATCAACTCTAATTCATCATTCTAATTCCTCACACTACTTTATATTTCTCATTTGGTCCTGGTTCTTAAGTGGACACTCTCAAGGTCAGTTTGGCGTTGTTCAAAGGTTGTCCAGAAATTATAGTCTCACTTGGAATGGACTAAACTAGTTTAGTTCTTGTGGTAATGAGACTCCTTAAAAGTATATATCTATAACCTAGCCAGTGTTTGAACCTGAGATTGTAATAACTTATATTGAACGCATTTAGATTAATTCGTAATGGAAAATAGGATTATGTACGTTAAAGAACCCTGTTCTAATGAGCAGATGTTAAAATTACAAAAGAACTGAACACCAAAAAAAGTTTTTAAGTTCAGCAAAATGATAAGTTTAATAGTTGAATTCATGTGTGAATCAAATCTAGACTACTATGGATAACCTGGAACAACTAAACGACCGTTTCGTCCTAGTGTGGAACTATTCAGCAATGCGCATTCACGGATTCAACTATTAAATTACAAAAATCTCCACAAAAACCCTTTCTGATAAAAATAATAAACGTATGTATATGGTATTTCATGTAAAAATACACATGATTAAATGTCAAATGGAATGTAAATGATTGTGAGATATGAGTATTGTTCTTTCACTTATGAAATTAAAATCTAGTTATTGAATCTACTCACTTACTTAAGTCTGTTACCGCCTATGGAGCATAGGCCGCCAACCAGCATTCGCCTTCATTTCTAGTTCCATCCAGTTGTTATTCATTCTACTCATATCTGTTTTCATTTCTTGGCGTAATGTGTTCTTTGGTCTTCCTCTTCTCCTTTGACCTTGTGGATTCCATGTTAGAGCTTGCTTTTTAACGCAGTTGGCTGCTTGCCTTAATGTGTGTCCTATCCACTCATCGTGGAGCCCTTCTGGGATTACTGCATGTTCCAAGCCCTGATAGAGGAGGAGGGTTGGGCATAGGGTTTACGACCCCATCCCGTAGAAACCTAACCCACCAAAAAAGGCTTACCAGAATAAACAATTCAAATCTACTAATTACCCTTTCTATAATTACGAACTATCAGTGTCAATGATGACATAAGAACATGGAACAGTGTATCATTATTTTAAAATTGAAGATACATTCACAATTAATGAATAGAGTTTATGTGATATGCTTATGTTTCTGAACCACTATAACTATCATTAAAAAGGCACAACTATTTATAAACACTTGTCTACGTGAGTTACTCTTGATTCGCTGGCCAAATACCATCAAAAACAGCCTAATGTGGGATAGAACCAATAAGCTTCTAGCTCAAGAGGAAATTAGGAAAAGACATTGGAAGTGGATAGGACATACATTAAGAAAATCACCAATGTGCATTACAAAGCAAGCCTTAACTTGGAATCGTGAAGAGAAATTGAAAAGCGAATGACCGAAGAACATACTATGTCGAAAATTGGAAGCAGACATAAAAAGGAATAATAGCAACTGGAATGAATTGCAAAGGATTGCTTAGAACAGGGTTAGATGCAGAGTGCTGGTGAGGGGAGGGAGTCTATGCTCTTTGAAGCACGGTAACAGGTGTAATTAAGTAATAAGTCTTCAATATATATCTTATTAAAATAAACTTAATAAATCTTACCAATACTTCCATATCTTCAGCTGGAGGTTGTGTTGGAACTTTACAAAGTAGAATAGAATTTCTATAATATGTATGTAAACGATGTATTGTTTCTAATTTTCGTGCTAGATTCTTCTTAGCACCATTTGAAGTGAAAATGAACAATGAAAAGATAAAAAAAATGCAAAGGATGATTCTTTTTCATTATTCTTTCTTATAAAAAAGACATAGTTTCTTAGTACATTACAATCATTTATAGTATAGTAATCAGTCATATATTGATTGTATTGTTCAAAATGAATGTAATTCAATCATAGGAAATCATTCTGTGAATGACATGACATACGACATAAGAAGGTATTACATGTTATGTATTTAAGTACTATACTTAGTAACTTTTGTTTTTATGGTCAATCATATCATGTCAGTATTTTAAGATCTTATGACTTATTTCTGGGTTAAATATGTCAGTTGTCCCTCCCCCCCCCAACCTCACACAAACAAAAAAATAAAGAACACCAGGAAACTATGTTCATCAGTCTTTGTTACTTCTTAAATAGGTTTCATTGTATTCTTTGAATAGTACAGTAGTTACTGGTAAAGTTTAAGATGAATAGATATACTGAGAGTATACTATAGTTCTGACATTTCCAGAAATTCCCACCTACACTACTGGTCTTAATCAATGAACAATATTCTTTTTCAATGAATTTCTTATCAGGTTCTACAATTATATAAATCCAAATTAATAATCCACCAAACAATTGGCCAAATTTGAAGCGAAGTACATCGACCCTCTTTCAATCCGGTTCCTTTGACTCTATAGATTACTTTAAAAGAATAGTACATCATTGAAAATTGTAACATGTGAATTAACGATTGTTGACTAGGTTAAAAAGAGCTGCTAAACATGTTTCTTTTGAGTGTAAAGCTCTGGCTTTTTGATCTGGATAGCAATTACCTCAGCCATCTGCAAGATTCTCAGTTTGACGGAATTAGGTCGACTGTTATTAATATGACATATTATTGCGAAAGATTACTCCATGTTGGTTGTATGTCCCGTCTGAATTAAACAGGCTGAAATGGAGCTGTCAATCGTTTTAATTACAACTTTCATTAACCACACTAAGAGGTGCTCACGAGCTTGAATATATAAATTCCTAGAAGATCTGCCAATATAACTTGCTCCACAAAAGTAGTTGAATTGATAGATACAGAAAGAAGTGGCTAGCCTAGGAAATTTATCTTTTAAGTTCACAGTAATCATTAAACGTCTGAAAGACTTTAGTCGTAGTTTAATCACAGTAAAAGTACTTTATATTGATCTGCGTAACTTCAGTCTTAGCATTTCACTAGATGCATCACTTCTGAATTCGGACTTACCGAGCCCCAGTCGAATTATTAGTCAACCTGAAGTTCAAACCCTTAAAAAACGGATTATTTAAAGATAAATCGTTAATGGCAAATAGTTGAAGATCAAGGATGATTATCATGAATTGGTTGATAAAAGTCACAAAATAGACAAGTGCAACAACTTGGTGATAATTTTCCTTCAACGAACCCTAAACTGTTTTATCAATCAAATCATCTTTGGCAAGATATAACTTGTTCTTTAGATGTATAGTGACTTACCTTTGTGACGACAATGCGACTGGTATAATGGAAACAATTATTATTATAATTAATTGTGCCAGTGATTGTTTTACTGTACCCGTCTGTTTAACTGTACCAGAGGCACTTTCCCTTCCGCTGCCTGTGACCTTGCACGAACTGAAGTACGATCAGCAGTTCCGCTCGTAAACTTTGACACATCTCGGTATCTTTTCCATACAACGAGATTGCCAACAAATATATCTTATTTCAACCGTCAACAGCCTTCTGGTTTCTGACCTACCGAGGGATCCAAGTCGATACCTGGCACGTATTCTTCCTGTGGTGGTGATCACAATAAATCGCCACTCGACGCCATCTAGAGATGTATGAAGGAAACAAGAGAATTTGGCAATTAATTTGGAGTGATTTAGGCCAGAAATTTTCTGAGTAGTGTGATACCAGATTATCCAAGTTAAATATTCATATCACTACGGATACTTACAATGCATTAGGACAGTAGAGGCGGTAGAATGTCACCTTAGCCAAATCATATGTTAGGCAGGTCACTGGGTGTTGAATAGCTGAACAGGTCCTCGCCAAAGCCAAGTACAACCAACGCGCATCAACAGGTGGAACAACCTGGAACAGTCCATGAGAAAATGTTCGCGATCAGTTTCTCAAAGCTAGTTTAGCTGATGCATTTCTTCTATAACGTCATGTTTGTCCTCTGCGGTCATCAACGTGCCCACAGCACCTGGATACCACGACGATGTACGCCTTGTTCAGTATTAATACAAGGCCCATCCGATTGGAGTAGGCTGCATTCATGAACACCAATCACCTACGTTGGTGATCCAAGATGGTGAGCAAAACATGATGTAATAATAATGGATAGACTCTTAGTTTCTCGTATGGTGTGCCAGATCACGTCAAGGATTAAAACTAAATATTGTTACGTACATTCATGACTCGACAGCCCTGTTATCCGTAACGCCTTTTCAATATGGGATTTCAAAACCAGTAAAATTAGAAGTAAGGAATGAAGGAGTTTGAATATATACTTACAAGATATTCTAAAAGTATCTGAGCTAAGCTGATTAGTCGTTGTGAGGGAGTGCGTATCACAGTGTGTCCAATGGTGATCTAGTGCTGTTGCTTGACCGGATGTTTTCAGCAAGGGCGTGTTCAGTAAAACTTATCACATCAGCATTAGCTTCAAAGACGTGTAGAACTACTTATTTTAGGGATTTATTTACTGACAAAAAACTATTAATTAAATAAAATAAGGAAGGGCTTTATATGGATTTATGTATTACACGTGGTGAACAGTTATAAATTTTAATGAACTTCAACTTTTAAAGAATTTGTAGAGATCTTTTTAAGTGTTTTAATCACTTGGAATTCCAAATGAACATTCATAATGTGACGTAAACGGCGAAATGATTTCATCAATTTGGTAATCACTTTGGGATAAAATGAATTCGTTTCTATTCACGTATAGTTCACGCATGTAATTCACGTGTATTTCGTAATGCGAAGTGCTATAAATGTAGTGAGATTAGACACATTCAGTCAGTTCGTAATACTACTGTTCATTTCACTTCAAGTAATGCTAAACTTTGTAATTCTGATCCTGTTAAGTTGAATGTTTCAAATAAATCATACCCTGATCAGATTCGTAGTATTGTTTTGCCAGTTATGCGTTGTTCTCATGATTTACTTATTTCTAATGAAATTATTAACAAATATGTGGAAGATATACCCGGTTTATTAAATCTTGATCAAAATTCTCATGTCAGTTTATCAGGTGTAGTTTCTCCTAACGATTTACATATTTCTAATGAAATTTTGTACAAATCTGAGGATAATATTTTAAATGAATTAAATCATGATCGAAAATCTGATAATGTTTTTACAGATGCTGATCTCTTATTCCACAATAACATTCCTAATAAATTTCAAGAAAATATTCCGGAAGAATCATATCTTGATGTCATATCAAATGTTATTTATCCTTATAATGCATTTGTTTCTTGTGGGAAACTTGTTTAAACCGAAGCAAAAGTCGTAAATTATCTCGATTTCAATTATAGATCATGCGATTTCATACCAGCTGTTGTTTATCCTCATCATTAAGTCCCTTCTAATAAATCTTTTAATCAATATGCGAAATATGTTTTTAATGAAGCGACTTCATTTCTAATTTGGTGATATGAAGATCCAACATTATTTCATGTGGGAGGATAGTGTTGAAAAGACTATGATTCGAATTCTAGATATCAGTGGTTGTAGTATATAACCGACATGTTGATCAAATATAATTCCAGGTGGGGCCGTTCCAGTTTCAGTTGTTAACTGTCATACCAACGAGTACAGAGTCTACATCCAATACACACATGATGAACCTAAAGAGAAGAGGCACAATTGATTGCAGAAATTTGGATTATCATTTAAGCTGTGGTGTATAAGGTGTTTGTATGAATGAATGATTTTTTGGTACTTGATGACCGCCAGAATTTCAATTATAAATACAATAAGTTCGTTCGTGCTCACCTAGTTCTTTGTTGCTTGGAAAATATTGAATAAATTTCAGGGCCTTAGCCAAATCACCCGGCATTTGGGTAACTGAATGTCGAATAGTTCATCAATCTCTGTCAAAATCAATGACAACCAACGCGCATCAGTTAACTGCACGCCATGGACTAGCCTATGAGGTGGTAGTCGCAACTTCTTCCTTGAACCTACTCTTATTATTGCATTTTTGTAATAACATGCTTTGTGCTATACAGTCTTCAAAGCAGCAGTGTTACCTAGATCCGACGAAGGGGTAATCCGCTTTAGATGCTGATAGCGAGGTGTAACTTTGAAGCTAGCTGTTGGTCCCGCCATTCGAATCTAAATCGAGTAGGCCCCAAAACATTCGACATGGATCATCTACGTTGATGATTTACGACATAAACGTAACAATCTAACCACTCCGTTACCACACAATAAGACGTGTAATAATATTCCATAAATTAGTACAGTGGTTACGTTACGATTAAATGAGATATCCTCTTCATCGTACATAATATTGAAACTGCTGCTACTTTATAGGATTTCAGCTACATATAAAAATAAATTGAATTTGTGCGTTTTGCAGACTTTTCATCTCGGTTAATGACAAAACTGTAATGTTCAGTCAGAAACATCGTAGAGTACATGAGAAAACACCGTGCTAACAAAGCTCATTATATATCCACTTCTGGCTTAAAATTTCTGGAAGTAGTTTTAGATATCCACTCAGCTGTTGATTACAATCTTTAGCTTATATCAAAAGAAGGCTTTCATCGCACCGACTAAAGCTGATCACAAGAAATCGGTAAAATTTTCAACCATTTCTGTAGTGAGTTTCTTCATGGATTTGGTTTTTTGCATACATTTGTTGACTAACATCATGTCGGTTTTCTGAGGGCGAAGAAACTCGGATAACTAAACTCAAGTAAAGTGAAGTTGCTACTTGTTGAGAGACATAACAAAAATATGTGGGATGACTTTTAAATGCATACGAATTCAAACTTCCGTCACTTCTCTAGAAACGTAATGAAACTTATCACAGCGTACTTGATTTACTGATGTCATAGAAAAATTTCGTTTCTTCAAGCACTTGACGAACCAAGGAAAACACTTTATGTTTATGACTTATTACAAGTAGATAAGATGTTTCACATGTTAGTCGTTCTGTCAAGACGAAAAACCCCTAAAAGTGAACTATTTGCTAACCAATGGGACAGTCATATTCAACTCGAATACAGACGAATGACTTCAAAGGGATAAGGGTGTTTCCTACATCTTTTGTGCAAGAGCAGACCGCATGACCTTGAGTTAGCACGTTCAACACACTCCATTACCATAAGAGTGGTGGATATTGACTGTGAATGACTACCAGGAGATAATTGGTAAAACGTTTCATAAAGTCATCCTACACTACATACCCCTACGGCAATACACATCAGGACTACAAAATACTATGTTAGTAGAAATACAGAACTCCTACTACATGCCCAAATCGGGATTGACATAAATGTAAAGTTGATCTAAAGGATCCTAGCCTTGGCTCTTACTTTGTATCGATAAACAGATAAAAGACAGAAGTTAGAAACCACAGTAGACATTTCCATATCTAGTTGGCAGTTAAAATATAAGCCAACCCACTATATGTCCATAAGTCCGTGACTACTTGAAAACTAACAAACGAGGAGGTCTGGGCTCTTTAATGGCTCGCTGGTGAAGATCTTGCCAACTTGGAGATGATGTCGACTTCGCTGAGCAACTAAACTAGGAATCCGCAGTTGCAGACCTTTTTTAACTCCATTGCCGACTGATGGCTCGGAAAATATCCATCTCACTCCTGTTCTAGTACCAAGTAAACTGAAATCCCTGCTCTCAGAAAAGTCTGAGAGCAACAGCTGCCTTAAAATCCTGAAATGACGCGCTGAAGCTAACATTTCACAGGTGTGTTGTATGTTTAAATACTCAATAGAGCCACAACAATTAAAAGAATTGAAACAGACCACACCTTTCTCATTTATCGAAGGAGGAGGTAGGAGAGATTTAGATTATGTACAAACCAGTCACATTACTCCCAGTTCTGTCGAGGGCAAATAAGTGATTGAATGATGTATCATATAGAGGTGAGACTTTAACTTTATGGACGAGCTTTGAACAACGCTAATGTGACCTTGAAAATGTTGACCTACTAACTAGGACTAAATAAGGGTTATAAAGTAGCATGAGGAATGAGAATTATGATTTACATTTGATGGTTAGGGTGAGGAATTAGATTACTGGTTTTCACCACAAACTGACCTTAGCTATAGTGGCGAAATAGTATTTATTCAAATAAGTGTATGAATTTCACACTAAAATCCGTCAGCTATTATTTTAAGTCTAATTGGTTCGTCCATAAATCATAGTCTCGCCCACATAGGTGAAATTAGCGTCCTGTGTGGAGCTCAACAAGGGTTAGTGAAAGGTTGGTCCTATGTGTCTGAAAGACAGACGGCCTGCTAAAATCAAGAGATACCGGTCCGTGAAATATTCTTCAAGTTTTTAATAGCCTTAGATATAGCAGTGCACGTAGCCTGAAAAGATGGGTTTTGCCGACCCGATTTTATCTTGTCTCAGAAACTATCTACAGAATGGTATGTTCCGCATCAGATTTAAGGTCATGATAAACACATATACAACCATAGTTTAGCACCTAACTATTTGAAAAACTATGTACAGGGCATGCCACATGATTTACGACGGTTGTCATTGCCTCATATCAATAACAAGTTACTATTTCACTTATTGTCATCGACGTTCCTGTTCTGATCCTTTCATTTCAGTCTTCTCACCCTGTCTGAATACTAAATGAGTTAGTTTACTTATTTAATTATTTCTTGAAACAACCTTCCTTACTTATCGCTCGAATTATCACTTAGTATTTTACACATAGCAATCAGCCAAACTATTGCCTGGTAATGTTATATAGGCTGATGTCCAGAAAACCTATTGCCCTGTTACAAGACCTGGATTTTTTCTAAAACAACAAGAAGTGAGATCCGATAAATCATCAGCTAATGCAAACTCCTATTAAAGATTTTAGTTGTTGTACAATATCGCATGAACACTGACCATAATTAATTGAATCACTCTTACCAAGTTCAGTGTTGGCATGACTGCAAAATGTAACCGCCGCGCTCAAATACCAACGCAATAACAGACTATTTGCTTCAAGTTTCGATTCCGAGATCGTCCTAATTTGAGGCTTGCATTATTTTTGTTTGTTGTCGATTGCTCTCCTCATTAAATGTAAGTGCATAGTGTGAGGTTGCTTGGTCGTCAACGCACTTCTATTTTTTTCTTTTCTCTCTATTCTTATCTTCCTTACTCACTACTCAGCATGCTGTGCAGTACGAAAAGTACCTTCTGGCTAGGCGCAAACAGCTACAAGTATGCATTTGAGGCTTTTTGCCACCATCTTATGCTTTCAATTATAATTCTCTAAATGCTTAATAATCAATGTACGCTGTTAACGTTAACCACAATTGTTATCGATTGCTTTTCTTATTAAATGTAGGTAAATTCTGTGTTCCAGCTCTTAACGTAATAAGAAATTGGGCTATTTCTGGTAAATGTTTGGATAGTTAAACGGAAAATTCATGGTGGATTTTGGTAAAATTTGACAAATACCAAAAGTCAACCATTAGTAGTTTTTTCCCACATTTTGCACTAAATTCACACTGAATTTCCACAGGCCTTCGGAGAATTCTATAAATTTTTTACTGGTTTTGCGTTTTTGACAAACCTTTTTTCAGGTACAAAATTTTGCAGGTCATTTTCACTAACTTCACAAACATCTTGGTTTTCCTACATCCAACTGAGATATACAAACTTCTACAGATATTTCTGCACGTAGTATTGCACTAAAAACTCTGATGTTCCAGATAGAAATTACGTTTTCTAACTTCGGTCTGGGTTAAAGCTTTATTGTTTACCATAATTACTACACTGAAAATCATATTTTGTTTATAGTTTATTCAAAGTTTAATAACTTTGCTTTGTTGAACAAACTCACATCGCCAAGTTACTAAAGGTTATATGAGTAGGTTTATTTTTGAACGCTCTGCTTATCGTACATCACGAATGCTATTTTTCATGAAAATGGAATTTTTGTTATAAGCGTGATTGTTTATTATAATAAACGAAAAATGTGTATCAAAAAAACGGCTTCTGAGACTGAATGTTCATGAATCTTGTTTGCTTATATTATTGGTATTCTGAAACAAATTAAAAAGCGTAATGCTACTCTTTGCTATCAAGAAATATGATGATAAGATTGAAGTGTAATTACGTTTACGGATGTTGTATACAGTTAACTGGAAATGACATGAGCTATGATAAAACTTGTACATCCGAAATGAATAACTCACCGTTATGTCTTATAGCGTATACTGTCCTCTTTTTACTTTTTCTTTCAGATTCTTTCACACTTTGCTCTTCACGCATTCCATAACACAACGTACCGTTAAGCTAGACGTAAACCTGAACGTCACGAGTATGGACATTGAGTAAGTTACTATGATGATAACAATATTCTCATTGAAAAAATGATGACAAAAGTTGGGGAAGAAGTTTCGTGCAATCTGATTGTTGTTTTCGTCCCTTAGTTTTTTCTTATTTCTCACCCTTTAGTCTGAAGGGAATAACATCTTAATAAATAAGGAAAGGAACTTCTTCCACAAAGCTTTAAAAAAATGTACTTTATTCTGGAAATAACCCACGTGTTTTCGTCCCGAGAATGTGTTTTAAATGTACAAGAGATAGCTTCTATTGTTAATTTATTGTTTGAGCCATGTTGAAAGATGCACATTACTTGATTGCGGTTCTCAAGACAGTAGCGTTAGTTTTTGAAAACGTTGGGTGACATCACTCTTAATCGATCAGAATAGCGATGATGTATGTAGGATTGCGATTCTTATAGGTCTTGAATTTTAATGCGCTTTCTTAACGTTAATTTTCTGGGATCATTCTATGTTCTATATTCTCCATTTTTCACTTTTCTCATGATTCCTTAGTACTACTGTTGTTTTGATTCTATTGCCGTCCGTATTGTTTACTTCTCGTTGCACTGATATGGTATGACGGCTTGTCCGTATGCAAGTTCATGTCAGGTCAGACGCTACTCATGATTGACCGAGTTCCTTGTTTTTGAGTAACTATATTTCATTTCAGTTCTCGGTAGTAAACCAATATGAACATTACAAAACTGAACCAGAAATAATCAGTTAAAAGAAGCTAATCAGCTTATTAAATTATGACTATATCACTAGGGTTAGAATCATTTCTTGAAGAAAATTGATTATTTATGTGAACTTACTTTTTGGATGCACAATCTGCCTTTTCAACTCTTTTCAAGGTACTCTGTAATTTTTTTAGGCATTCAAATAATTGTTGTCGGTAAAATTACGTTATTTCATTATTTAAAGTCACTGTAGGCTTTCAGATGGAATTACCATATTTTTAGCCTCTTTCGCGTCAGTGTCAGTTAGTTTGTGAATTCTGTACCTTGCACTTAATTGGTGTTTTAGAAAAAACAATTTATTCGACCGGACTTGGTAGAGTTTATATAAAGCTTCTTCTTATACCATCGCCTAGGTAACTAGTTCAGACTCAATGAATCGATACTTAGGAAAAGGACAATGATAGTCGAAAGGAAATAAATTATTTTTGCATACGTAGAAGTAAACAAAGGTGAGACTTTTAGGTTGAATATCTAATAGTTGACAGAAACTTTTCAATCACGACAAGATTAAGTGGATTTGTGCCAATCTCTTAATCAAAACAAGTGAAAATAAGTGATAATTGGATAGTAGCTTAGGTCCAATTGAAGCGGTTTATTTTGAAATATTTTTATGATTATTTCAGTTTCCCAATATGAGAATGGATTACCGTCTAACCTTTATTTATAGGCCAAAATAATTATACGGACCCTGATCACGTGGGTCAAACCTATTAATATGGCTCAGTCCGATTTCCAATGATTTCATGGACGGATACGATATATTGATTTTTCCACTCCCAGATTTCTTCTAATTTACTCCTATACCATACAGCATCACAAACTAAGGTACTAGGTGATTGGATATGAGTATCATATGTCCCAACCACCTCAATGTATGAAGATTCATTACCCCATAGATTGATTCACCATATTTACCTATTGTCCTATCCCTAACCTCAACACTGCTTTCTCAATGATCCTACGATTCATCAGCGTGACTTTAGAGATACGTATGATCGAATACTAAGAACCCACGAATATCTTCTATTTTTAATGGCCATATTTCACGGATCCAAATGCTCCGAAGCAAAGTCTACCTTTGGCTGGCAGACAGATATCCCGCTTAAGTTACAATTGGTGCAAGTTGGTAAAAGCTGATCGAGCTCCCTAAATCGTGCTGAAATTTCGTTAAATATCAGACCATCAGTACTGATGAGACTTCCGAGATGAGTAAATCAACCAACCCACTCAATCACTTCACCTCTATCATTAATTCAGATGCTGACGCAAGCTTGTGCTGAGTCCAAATTTTGCATTTGGAAGGAGGGAAACCCGTCCCAAACATGCTTAGATTGTTGCTTTACGTGATCTGGTGATTGTGCGTTTGGTCAACGTCTTCACCAAACAGAACTATATTATCTGCTTATTCCAAGTTAACAAGTGAATCTCTTGGTAGGAGATGTATTCCTGAAAAGTCAAACAATGAAAGTGTTATTTTTAAAAGCATGTCTATGATAAAGTTCAACAAAATAAACCGTGATGAACACCACTTGAGATTGAAAATTCAGGTGACAGTTGCCTATAAACTCTGGCTCGACCAGAAATTTTCGAGTAGAGAACCTGTATAAGCTTACATACTTCTCCAGTACGTATTTAAATGACGTACACTGCCACAGAACCTCTCGATGAACAGAATTGAACTCTGCCTTAAGGGTTAAGAATAAATTTATATCTCGACGTCAAAAATTCTGTTTATGTTCAAAAAGCTGATAGAGAGTGAATTTTAGTTCGATATATCCACTTCAATGTTTGAAACCACTTTGATTTTCCCAGATTTGTTCTTCACGAGTCCTAGTTAGGAATAGGATTATTAATGAAACTAATATTTTGGATAACATATCAGCCAAATTAATTCTTTTTGGCAGTTGCAAGAAGTATTTTGTCCTATCTTATACACCAGGACTGATAGTATACCAGACTACTTCGAGATAAATATCTCCTGCTGAGAAATAGTATGGATACTCGGACCGAATCCTTCAGCTGGTTAGGTATATCAAACTAAGTTAGCATATATTTTTGGGAGTTCAGGACAGTCGTAATAAGTACTTTGAGGTAATTATTCATCGATTATAGATGATTGAAAGGAAACTAAAGAATCTCTTTAAAATATTTACTATTAGTACTATCACTGGTTCAACCAGCACCAAGATCAGAATTTTCGATACAAATGTCAAGACGGTTCTACTGTATGGGGCGGAGACATGGAGAACCACGAAAGCCATCATCCAGAAGATACAAGTGTTTATTAACAGTTGCCTACGCAAGATACTTCGGATCCGATGGCCAGACACTATCAGCAACAATTTACTGTGGGAGACAACAAACCAGATTCCAGCGGAAGAAGAAATCAGGAAGAGGCGCTGAAAGTGGACAGGCCACACTTTGAGGAAATCACCCATTTGCGTCACAAGAAAAGCCCTGATATGGAATCCTGAAGGCCAAAGGAGAAGAAAAAGACCAAAAAACACATTACGCCGAAAAATGGAAACAGACATGAGAAGAATGAACAAAAACTGGATAGAACTCGTAAGGAAGGCCCATAACAGAGTGGGTTGGAGAATGTTAATCGGCGGCCTATGCTCCATTGGGAGTAACAGGCGTAAGTATGTAAGTAAGTAACAATCACTAGTAAAATGAATAAATGAGATACATTAGTATTTCCGACAAATCAATGGTAAACACGAAATATATATCTCCTAATGCACCAAACATTTTTCATAGTTTGTAGGCTTATAGGAACGGTTTGCTTCACTGAAAATCTCGTTTCTAGCATAGGAGGTTTGAGCATATTGTTTACTTCCTAAGAGGATACGGGTCCATCACGTGACCCCAAGGTACTGGGTTGAATCCCTGTTAAGGATTTTTACGTTCACATTTCTATGGAGGTACAAAGCATGATAAGAAGGCTATTGATTACTCATTGATTTCTAATATTTGTTTAGCTGAAGTTACTCCATGATGTGAACTACAGTCTTGGTTTTGTTTTTATCTTAGTTTTAGCAGTGGAAGTGGGGAACTACGAGGACCAGAAACTTCATATTTAATTGAATGTGTTGGATCATTGTTACGGCAATATATAGCTGAAGTTGTAATTAAACGGCCTGTGGATCCAATCGATTACTTGGGTCGCTGTTTAAAAAATTATACAAAGATAAGAGATATTGAAATAAAAGTAAGTTTTTGGACAGGTTGGGTTGGGAATGGACATCTAAGTTTCTGTTCGTGTGAAATTCCTTATTCTCTTCAAAATTGTCTCATATGGCAACTCGAACTCATGTACGTACGTAAAAGGTTCTACATTGTCACTGACTGACTGACTGTCTCATATATCCAATCTCACTCAAGTTGACCTCGAGTTTAAATTAAGTTTTATTGTTTGTTATTCCTTCATTTTACACCCATTCTTTTAAACATATTATTGGGTTTAGACTTTCCTGCTATTAATTGATACTACCACTGTTATTCAATTGTTTACACCACCACTGAAAACATGGAAGCACTAGACATCCATTTCGTTGTAGTGCGTGAATACTCAATATTGTGCATCCACGACCCTGGATCAGGGAATTTAACGAAGGACGTTTTATTTCGCGCACGAATGCCTGCCGCATGAGTGACTGTTACTAACTTGGGATAGTAAAGGAGGGTTTAGCAATATTACGAATTGATTGAAGTTAGACATTAACATAATCGAATATCAGATCAACGGTTTAGACGTTGGTGGTTTTCACACAACACCGAAAGTTATGGGTTCAATTTTTTATGGTGTGGTCGTGAATGCCCACTGCTGAGGAGTCTCATACTAAGACAAAACAGCTCTCCAGTACCTACAGGTTTTCAGTGTGGGTCTAGTTAAGACCAGTTCATGATTTAAGCTACCGAAATTCTACAATCTCCACAAACCCTGTATATTGATTCATTATTAATCCGTTTTCTGATTATATTATAGTATGTTCACAATGTTCTATTCTATGCCTGTAAGATTTAGACGTTAAAAAATGGCATTCGTTGATCACTAGAGTCTGACCATAGACGACTTCGAAACATTGCTCATATATGTTGGGACCGACAGTGCTGAGCTTAGAGATAGAGTACTATACAGAAGTGATAAATCAGCTGATGTGATGAATCTTCATCAACTTAGGTACCTGAGACATATTTTACAAATGTCATAACCATCAATTACCATGACGTGCAATGGTTATCAGAGTAGGGGTAAGTTGTAAAATAGATAGAGAGTCAAACCAAAACCTTGGCTTCAATCTATGAAGTAACTGATTGTTAGACTGAACTGTGTAGGCAAGTATGAACTACCTGGTCGTGTTCTACGAGTGAATAACGACCAATAGTTGGGAATGTTGGTTGATATAACTCAGAATTGTTCTTAATCGTGCAGACTCATTCAATAATAAACTTACTTTATATCTTGAGGTTTATAATAATCACGCACTTTTTGCTCCACTCATTCTTTCTTCCCTGGTCATATTCTCAATGCCTAGTGTTTTCTAATACAAGTAATACAATTACTTTTTCTAGCATTCTAGGACTTTTTAGAATAACTTCATCTCACTGTGCTGAAATGGTATAGGGACTCGAACTAGCGGACATATGTGATAGATTTTACGTTACTCATAGCCAACTATTTACACATTATACACTTCAAATGCACGAAATATACTAATTAAAGCTGAATAAGTAGCTAGAAGTGGAGTTTTGGATATGCGTTTCGTCCTATTTTGGATTCGTCAGATTGGTGGATCTACTAATAGCCATTTATTTGTTTTAATAATCTAGTTTTATTTTGACATGGAAACGAATAATTGATTTTACTAATGAGTCATATGAATGCAAATACTTCTTGAATATTTCAAATTTTCTCAACCAGGAATCTCTTGAAAACAATGAATTAGTTCATTTGCATCAATTAGAAGAAGAGAAGACTTCATTAGAAATCAACAATGAAGAAAACACCTCAGATATCACTACAAAATCGAAAAGCAATGAACATGATTCAAACCAACATCATTCAGATGATGAAATAATTAGTAACGATGTACATGTGAATAAAATTGACGACATTGCAGCTAATAATAATCCTAATGATGATGATGATGATATAAAGGTTCAAGATAGAAATCATTTGCAAAGTGATTCAGAGAATTATGTCAAAGAATCAGTAAACGAAGAAGAAGATGATGACGGAGAACAAAGTACATTAAAATTTGATAATGAAACTGATGATGATATTACTTTCGATTCACAAGTTAAACAAGATATTAATGAAACACCATTAGAAGGTGAGCGAGTGAGTGAGTGAATGCGTGAGTGAGTGGGAGAGTAAGCGAGTGAGTGAGTGAGTGAGCGAGTGAGTGAGCGAGTGAGTGAGTGAATGAGTGAGTAAGTGAGTGGGCGAGTGAGTGAGTGAATGAGTGAGTTAATCAATCAGTCAATGTTCAATTTCAATGAATGATATGTTTACTAATTTTAACTGTTCATTTACTTCGAGAAATTTCCCCTAGTTACTAATTTTTTTAAAAATAACTTTTAACGAGGCATTATTATAAGGAAATAAGGAAGTACTTTGTATAATAGATTCCAAATATATTTGTGAATTAGTTAGTGTCATTTGAAATATGCCGAATCCTTTCGTTAATATATATATTTTGACACAACTAAGTAAAGACGTAGTTCATCTGAAAAGTGTGATATATTTGCGCTATACATTTCAATCGAGATCATGAAATGATTGATAATAGACCACTATTAGAAATCTGGAAGCACTGGACGATGATTTCGTTCTGGCATGGAACTCTTCAGCAATGCTCATCCATGATCCCGATCTCTGGATTCGAACCCAGGACCTCCGGTCTCGCGGCCGAACTCTTTACTTTAAGTCTACTGACCCGGCATTCGACTGTGTTGATGTCTAACTTCCATCGATCCATGAATGGCTGCGCAATCATTCATCCATTGTCTGAGGTAGATACCTGTCTCTACCCGACACGGAATATTATGGAGCCAGTCACTAGTGAACACATTTAGAACAGTCTGGTCACGCCTATACTTATCAGGACATTTTGTGTGAAGATTAATAAAGGTCAATTACATGAAGGTCCAAATAAACAAAGGTGAGAGAAAAATTAACATCATATAGAAAGAATAAGAAACTGTTACATTACCGTAGGCCATAAAATGACTTAAGGATTACCAGGACAATTTCAAGGTTACGACTAATTATTCTTGTACACATCAGGAAAGTTTGAATGTACGAATAGCCAAGGCTTCTATAAACCCTCGGAATTCGTCTTTGACAATTTGGATACAGCATTTACAAGACTGTATTAATGTCAATTATTTGCTCCCTTTCAGTTATTTGCTTTACTATTGTTGAACATGATTATTTACTTCCCACATTGATCGGAACATTTGACATGAACTGGTTTTGAAGCCATCTAGGCACATGTTGAGTCATCACTGAATTAGGTACAATAAAAAGTCCACCTGCTTTCTATCTTCATCTGATTAACTACGGAGTTGGAAGGTGCTCGTGAACTAATAAACGTTAGTTTCTTGCTTGTTTTCAGTTGGTCGATGTATCGATTGGTACTTATATCACCATTCCAACTGCTAGTATGGGTGCCTCCAAATGCCCTGGTTCGGCCGAGAGTGGGGAGAGTCTTCTCTCTCTCGAAACGCTCCCATATGACCACGCCTCTGCCAGGGAAATCATACTTACTACCTTCTCGTGGCATTACTGTTGTTTACGAGATTGAGAGGATGAAAAGCGAATGTCCAACGCTTTAACCGGGTTGGTGGACACGGAAAGTCCATCTAGGGGAGTTGGAAAACCCTGATTCCAAACCAAAGGTGCACCTTGGCTCCAGAATCGTGAAGGAACAAATGCGTATGAACTATTTGCTGGTTACCGGCTACCATAGGACTGTATCTTCTCACGATGCTCCACTGCCTTGTGGATCAGACCTTTAGGTCAAAGGCTTCGGGTGTGGCCTCCTATGAAAACCACCTTTTTCAGTTTGGGCACCTGGTCAGTATCACAGCCCTCACACAAATCCAATGAGATTTGTGTAGCACATATATATCTGGTTCCCCTTTGTACCAATATTTATGTGTTTAAATCAATAAATAAATTAGTATCATGAAGCAAGTGCTAACTTGAAATCCTGAAGGGAAATGGAAAAGAGGAAGGCCGAAGAACACACTACATCCAGTGCTTCTAGGTTTTCCAAGGTAGTCTAGCTTTATTCCACTCATGAATTCAACTAATAAATTACTACAATCTCCGCAAAACCCCTTTCTAATTAATAAATAAATTAAAATTTGCAACAAACTAGTAATTGAATGATTTCTATTGGCCGGTTCACTAACAAAATAGATTGTCCAATAAGATTATTTTGACCATGAAGTAACATGAATTGAAAACTGGAGTAGGAAATTTATTTACCTCACTGATTAATGACCTGAAATGTTGCTTTCTAACTTATCCAGCTCTTCATTATTTATAAACTTTCGTCCTCAGCAGGACGAGTCCCACAATAAGACGAAACGGCCGTCCAGTGCTTCTAGGTTTTCCATTGTGGTCTAGCTTCAATTGACTCATGATCTCAACTATATCAAATTACTGAAATCTCTACAAAACCCCCGTTCTGATACATATAGAAAGTGCATATTATAACTAAATCAAACAACAAAATTCAATTATAATATTACTTACTTACGCCTGTTACTCCTCATGGAGAAGTATAGGCCGCCCACCAGCATTCTCCATCCAACTCTGTCCTGCGCAATCCTTTCCAGTTAACATTCATTCTTTTCATATCTGCTTCTATTTCCCGACGTAATGTGTTCTTCGGCCTTCCTCTTTTCCGTTTCCCTTTAGGATTCCAAATTAGGGATTGCCTCGTGATTCACATTGGTGATTTCCTTAATGTATGTCTTATCCACTTCCAACGTCTTTTCCTCTTCATGTGGAAGCTGGTTTGTCCTCTCCCATAAAACACTGTTGCTGATAGTATCTGACCAGTGAATGTTGAATATTTTGCGTAGACAACTGTTTATAAATACTTGTACCTTCTTGACGATGGATGTAGTAGTTCTTACTAGTTTTATATAATTGATATAATGCTAATACAATCTCACTATTTCTATGTATTATCTTTCTTATTCATAGATACTGTTAATCATGATGATGACGATGATGATGTAACAGAAGAAGTGACAGATTCTGAAATATAATAAACTACTTCATTAATCAACCATTTCATATATGAATGGGTCTAAGTAAGTGAATGAATGAGTTAGTTAGTTGGTTAGTTAATGAGTGAGTGAGCTAATGAGTGACTGATTGACTGACTGACTAAGTGTCTCATTATATTATACAAGTTCAAATGTAATAATTTCTCCTGGAATGTTCCCATTTATCTACAGTATAGAAACATTTTTATCATAATTCAACTTGTACTACTGACGGAAATCATTTTAGTAGTATAAAACAAAACAACAAAATTATATTCTAATATTAAGATTTGTGGTTGATCTGACAATAGGCAAATGTTATAAAATTTAAAGCAATTAGTCCCTTTGATAAATTTCGATAATGCAATGAGATAATCTTCGTTTTCTCATTGTGTTATAAAATTGTTTCAATTTGATTGTAATATGTGTCATATGATCAAATAAATGGTGTATTTATCAATATTGTTTTGGATTATTCCATAGGGGTATATAATTTGTATTTGGGACTACAAATTAATTTACTATGTTCATTTTGTAATGAATAACTTACTTACTTACGCGTGTTACTCCCAATGGAGCATAGGCCGCCGACAAGCATTCTCCAACCCAATCTGTCCTGGACCTTCCTTTCGAGTTCTATCCAACTTTTGTTCATTCTTCTCAAGTCTGTCTACCTTTCTTGGTGTAATGTGTTCTTTGATCTTCTTCTTCTCCTTTGGCCTTCAAGATTCCATATCAGGGCTTGCCTTGTGACGCAATTGGAGATTTCCTCAAAGTGTGCCCAATCCACTTCCAGCGCTTCTTCCTGATTTCTTCCTCTGCTGGAATCTGGTTTGTTGTCTCCCACAGTAACTTGTTGCTGATATTGTCTGGCCATCGGATCCGAAGTATCTTGCGTAGGCAACTGTTAATAAACACTTGTATCTTCTGGATGATGGTTTTCGTAGTTTTCCAGGTTTCCACCCCATACAGTAGAACTGTCTTCACATTTGTACTGAAAATTCTGATCTTTGTGTTGGTTGATAATTGTTTTGCGTTGCAGATGTTATTCAGTTGTAAATATGCTGCTCTTGCTTTGCCGATCCTCGCCCTCTTGTAATGAATAAGAACACAACAAAAATACGGAAAGTGTTAGTAAAATTTCTACTCCAACACAACCGGTCAAGTTAGAGCTTATGGCGAACTGTCATCAGAATTGATTAACTCATGTGGTGTTCTTCAGAGCTCTCTATTCTCTTCATTCTTGTTTAACTTTGTCTTTGACTTGTTTTAGAGATAACACTTTCATCATTTAAATCTTCATGGGTTTAACTTTTACCTGGAGATTCACTTGTTGACTTAGAATACGCCAATTACTTAGTTCGATCTTTTTAACCTTCGGCCTCCAGGCATTTCAATTTCGATTTACGATACAAACTACTGTTTCGACCTCATATCTGAGCAACAGTGTCACGAATTCATTTAAGTTACAGTGTGTTTCGTTGTATATCAACTCTGTGGTCAACAATTATGAAACTCTCCATGAAACTCATAGGCCTTTAGTTCCAGCTCCAATAGGGCTATCGATACACACTACCAGTGAGTCCAATACTAGGACAGAACAAATACACAGTGCTTCTTCATCTTCCATGATCATTTAGCTGAGATTAATCTGTGATATAACTCTTGACACTTAACAATCTTCTCAATCCATCAATAGTAATACTAATCTACAAAAGTAACAAACAACCATTGAAAACATAATCAATGAGGTAACTGATACTGTGGAATTGAGAAATCTCCATTATTTGAATCAGAATGAATTAGATTCAAGTCTCCATTTGACACATCAACACTATTCAGATGTAAATTTATTCCAACTGATGAGTCTCAAATAGGACGAAACACACATCTTCGAGGTTTAAAGCCTAAACACATCTATCAAATATATTAAGGGTTCTATCATGAAGCTTCATAATGGAATAGAATGTGTAGTAGTCACTATGATTATGTAATAATTTCAATCATTAATTCTTAACCAAAGAAAAAAAAGTGTAAAGAATCTTCTTTCTATTTGTTTAACATATGGGATTAATATTCAGTTGTGAACAATTGTTGCTATGGTATGTAATAATGTAATAATGAATCTTTTTCACCGAGGTTTATAGTTATTCGATTAGGATTTATTATAGAATGAGGAAGGTGGTACTTTAATGAATGACAGTATAAGTGGGGACAATTGAACATGTTAATGAAATCTGAGAACCATACAGTGAATACTTCACTTACAAAATGTCAATCAACTGTCTCAGACTTTATTGTTCCTTGGTTTCCACACAAATTATTCTATGTTCTGGTTCTCTTTTTGTTAATCTTCTTAACCTTTTGTCGCCAGGCATTTCGCTTTCGATGGATAATATATACTACTTATGTCTGTTGACATCAGTAATACACAACATAGAATCAGCACACAAGGATTCACATGGGTGGTTAACTTAACCATATCTTAACATTGAATATTTGTCTTACTGAAAATGAGATTGAGACTCTCATTTCGTTTTGTAGAGGTCTTGCATTATTTCCAAGTGGTATCAATTTAAAACACTCTCAATGTGAGATAGTTGAAAGAAAGAAACCATTTTTCTGGATCTAGGCTTTGTGCTAGTTGATATATAACATTAAGAAATATCTAAAATATTGATGGAACTGATTCGGATCTTCATCTTCTAGTATAGCCACTAAGTTATTCATGCTTCAAATGACTTATTGAAAGACTAAGATATTTACACTAATCAACGACTAAGTACTAACCATTTTCATATTTATCTAGTTTGAAATGGTCAAAGGAATTCCATCAACTAAGTTGTAATAAATATCCACCATATCGTCCAATTATATCTTCATATCCTGTGTTGTCCACTCCGACTTAAGCATTTTGATCTCCCATCAGGATGTTCAGGTCCTTCCTTGAGAACTGAGCTATGATTGAATGCAGCCTCGAATAGAACGGATCTTTATCGTCGTCGTTGCTGTCATTGGTGGGTGCATTCTGGATCCCGTATAACCAATGAGCTATTCATGCTTCAAATGACTTATTGAAAGACTAAGATATTTACACTGAACAACGATTAAGTACTAACCAATTTCATGTTTGTCTAGTTTGAAATGGTAAAAAGAATTCCATCAACCAAGTTGTAATATATATCCACAATTCTAAATAACTAAGTGACAAAGATTTGAATCTCATTGTGAATATCAGTTCAATCACAATTTTTGAGTACACCTTCCTTGAAACCCGGGTTAAATATTTGTTTTAATCAGTGATTACGCTTATCATTCACCACTTATTAATCATTGTATAATACTGTTGAACGTCAAGATAATCCTACTGTACGGAGCTGAAACATGTAGAACGACTACATCCATTATCAAGAAGGTAAAAGTATTTATAAACAGTTGTCTACGCAAAATACTCAACATTCACTGGCCCGATACTATCAACAACATCGATTTATGAGAGGGGACAAACCTGCTTTCAGCTGAAGAGGAAATTAGAAAATAACGTTGGAAGTGAATAGGACATACATTAAGGAAATCACCAATGTGAATCACGAGGCAATTCCTAACTTGAAATCCCGGAGGGAAACGGAAATGAGGAAGGCCAAAGAACACATTACGTTGAGAAATAGAAGCAAATATGAAAAGGGTGAATGTTATCTGGAAAGAACTGAAAAAGATTGACCAGGATAGAGTTGGATGGAGAATGCTAGTGAGTGGCCTATGCTCCTCGACGAGGGGTAACAGGCGTAAGTAAGGAATTAATACTGTCGCAAACTGAATTCTTACTAGGATGGTTAACTTTATTCAAGCAAACTAAAATATCTTACACAAATATTTGACATTATTCAGAATTATTGATTTTTTTGATTGTTAGAATATTAAGATATGAAAATGGAAATGGTACCTTCGTGTCCAATATTGTCCAATATTTTTCAACTAATTAACGAATGAAAATTGAATAGGGAAAACATTCAGTTATACGGTATCAGAAAAGTAATAGTGTTATTGTCCAGTAGATAGGATTATAGCAGCATTTAACACACACACACACACATGTATTTATACACTTCATCTATTGTATGTACTACAGTAGTATATGGCGACATATCATTTTTACGACTGAGAGGCTTTCAAATGAAACTGAATATAATAAATTTTGTTATTGGATACTTCATAACTTTTTCCTCCTAATACCCTGGTACGGTTGAGGTTGGGGTGAGTCCACTCTCTCTCTCTCTTTCGAAATGCTCTCACATGGCCACATGTATACAACTGCTAGTAGGGAAGTCCTACTCTTTGCCTTCTCTCCTCTGCGGTGTTGTTTACGAAATTGTGAAGATAAAAAGTGAATGTCTGACACTTAAATACGGTTAGTGAATATGGAGGATCCACCTAGGAGAGTTGGAAAACCACATTCCCAAACTAATAGTGCACATGGGCTCCAGTATCTTGAAGGAACAAATGTCGCATGAACCAATTGTTGATAACCGGCTACCATGGGACTGCATTTCCTTACGATGTTCCATTGCCTTATGTATCAGACATTTAGGTCGAAGGCTTTGGGTGTGTCTCCCTAAGAAAACCATCTGCTTCGGTCTGGGCACCCGGGCAGTATCATAGCCCACACACAAATCAAGTGACTTGTGTTGTGCATCTGTATTCGGTGCTCCTTTGTACCAATATTTATGTGTTCAAATACATAAATATTAAAAAAGCAAATGGATACTGCTTATCAATTAATTATTACGGGATCAGTTTGTGTAAACTCAAATGAAAATTATAAGCATTTTGGAGAAAACAGTTCTTAATAGTGTTAACTGGGGGTAGGATTCTAATACTTCCGTATTGAACTTCAACCAGTCTAGCGACTGAATCACATCAAGAGAACTCTTAAGTAAATGTTGAAAAAAGTGTTTTAAATCGATCGAATCGAGATCAAATGCGGAGTCTAACTATGATGTCACTGTATCAGATGTTGGATATTATCACAATCTAGGTAGTGCCTTCAATCGATTCTATGATCAGTCAGAAGGTATGGTAAATTTTTTCAAAGTACTCAGAGAACTAGTGTGCTCAGGTGTGATATCTAAACAGCTGGAAAATTCAAATCTGATCTCAAGTTATCTTAATTAGTATTTAACAACGAACAAATCAGATTCCAGCTAAAGAAGAAATTAGGAAAATACACGTTAGGCGTATAGAAAATACATTGTGGAAATCATCAAATTATATCATGATGCAAGTCCTAACTTGAGATCCTTAAGGTAAAGGATAGAGATAAAAGAACACATCGTGTAGGGAACCAATAACATATAGGAACGATTTCGAGGGAGACCACAGGGCAGAGTAGGTTGGAGATACCTCATCGGCAGCCTATGCTCCATGGGGTTGACAGGCATAAGTAAGTCAGTATGAAGGA